CCAGCTCCTAGCTCCGCCATGGTGCTCCGATGACGCGTCCGGAGAGCCGCTCCGCCCTCTTCCTCGGCTTCGCTCCCGCCGGCCCCAGCCTCCGGGGCCCTCTGCGCAGACAGGTGAGCGCGGTCCCTGGAGGGAGGAGGGTGAGAGCGCCGGGGAGCCGGGAAGGCCTGGGTCCTGGCGCGCCCTCTAGCGGACAGGTGCGGCCTGGCAGCCGCTCTGACGGACGCCGCTGGGTCTAGCTGCGAGAGCTTCGGGCGGAGCAGGGTTTTGGGCACGGAGAAGCTTCTGGGCCACGCCGCAGACCGCTGTCCACTCCTGGAGGTCTGAATAGGGTCAGCGACGCTTGGTGGCTCCAGGGCCTGGGACTGGGGAGGGAAGAAAATCAGCCCAGGTGGGACAAGGACATTGGGACGCTCTGATCCCTGTGAACTCTGAAGCAGCCAGGTCAGTTTTGAAGTTCAAGGTGACAGTGCAAAAAGGGTATGATGCCACGTGTAAAGCCGAAGTACGCAGGCGAGATTCCAAGCTGGTATCCGGTCTCTATCTGCGTTTTAACGCGCCATTTCTGATGACAAATCTTTTCACCGGGCTCCTGTAACTGATGAGCCTCAGGGCACACGAGTAAAACTTGTGCCGAATGATATGGCTTTTCTTATTCTCGGGGTTCCCTATTAGTGACTACGTTGTGACTTCCAGCTTATTCAGGAAGATGGGGGGGAGGCAATAGGCAATTTCTTTCCCTCCCTCCCACTTTCTCCCTTCCTCCCCTTTCTCTATCTCTCTCTACAGAAAGGAAGCTGAAGAGATACCCATTTCTGCTCCAACAGACAAGTAAAGGATCAGCAACAAAATGCTGAGGGAAAAAAAAAATTTAGCCTTGCATAAATGGAAACATAAGAAACAAGAGAAATGCAGTCACTCCCTTGGGCTGGGTTGGCTGAACATCAGCTGCAAGCTCCCGGCAGTTTCAAACCCTCTCAAGGACTCCCGCAGAATCTGCTGAGTGCCCAATAGTGTCTGAGAAGTGTTGGATTTGGGGTGACTATTCATACCATCCTTTCATGAAATACCTGCCATTCTGAGCTCAAGAGTGGACTGTTTTTCTTTGGTTTCTGGTTCACTGGCTGACTAGGTAGAAGTTTTGACTGAGAAACACTTTGCTATTTTAGGGATTTTTCCCTTAGTGCCATTTCCACAGTGTTTTAGGCAAACTGATCACATTCAAATCACTCTTACTAGACTTCTAATCAATAAAAATAAAGCACCAGATTGGGAGAGGTAGTTTTAAACCTCAGCTTGGGCCCAAGCAAAGGTATTTTTTGCTACATTAAGTTGTCAGAGTTTAAGACACTTTACCGTGAACATCAGAAAGACTCAGCTGAATTTAGAGAGGTGAATTCTGCAAGGACTTGGAAAAGGGAAGTGATTGACTGACTGACTGACTACCTACTTAAGCAAACCAAAGAGTACCATCTTTGACTTCCCTCTCAAAAAATTGACTCACTGGTGTTTATTTTTGTGTGTGCGTGTTTCTGTTTTCGGTGTGCACTTACCCTTTCTCCCATTATTTTGCCAACTTATGTTTTAGTCTGTCGCCAGCCACCAAGAAATAAGTGCAGTAAGAGACACACCGATATCCTGCCCTTAGGGCATGTACAGACTATGAGTTCCAAATTTTAATGTGGTGTCTGTAACAGCACGGACATGAAAATGCAGGAATGGATGACATCTGTTAAATGTCAGGCACTGTCACATTGTACTGTGTTGCACTTTGTGTTGTACTTTACTTAGAACGCGGAAGCCATCTGTCCTGCGCTCTGACATCCATCTCGAAATCTTGCCCATTCATCACGGTTCTTTCCAGAGCGGGGAGTGGGACCTCCTAATGCCATCTGCTCCCCTCCTGCCTCCTCTGAAACCTCATCCTTTCTTCTCCCTACTCCTCAAATGCCTCTCCATTCAGGGACTCCACCCCACCAAACACATCCAGGACTCTTGGATCCTGAAAAGTTTCTTCCCTCGACTCCCTATCCTCCCAAGTCTTGTCTACTTTGTTCACTGAAGGTAATAAATGTGTGGACTCTGGTACCATATTATCTTATTGTCTTGGTTCAACCAGCTGTAGTCTCTTGCCTACCTATAAATACTTCCCAGGGCTTGAAATCAAACCATGTATTATTAGTTTTTCATCTGTCATTCTCCTAGATTTTCTGTAACATGCCCCCCTCTGATTACCCTCTTGGCCTGTTTTTCTAATTTCTCTGTCATCAGTCCTTTTTCTCCTTTACTGACTTAAATTTCTCCTCCTTCTCAAACAAAAACCATCCCCAAAGCCTTCTTCCTCCCCAAATTTTAGGCCACAATCTTTTTATCTTCCACTCTCATTTACTATTATCTCCATCCAGGTTGACCCCTGGATCCAAAAAATGCGTAGGCCTCAGGCCTGACTTCTGCCAGTGAGTCCTCAATGGTCTCTGCACATTTCTGTCCTTGATTCATCCTGCCATTAATTCACTGTGTCCGAAACCAGCTCCCCCTGGAACTTGCCTAGTTTTGAAATCTTCTCTCACATAAACTCAATACCTTTCCTTCCATCATCATTGCCCAAATCATGGTTCTCATGGATCATTAATCTTGTCAATTAATTGTTTTAATTTTATCCTCTCAATTCCTGTTGCTCTCCTACTAGACCTTCTTTCATATCTTAAAAAATATATATTTTATTTAATTTTAGAGAGAGGAAGGGAAGGAGAGAGGGAGAGAAACATTAATGTGTGCTTGCCTCTTGAACACCCCCTACCGGGGATCTGACTTGGCTTGCAACCCAGGCGTGTGCCCTGAGTGGGAATCAAACCAGCGACCCTCTGGTTCGAAGGCTGGTGCTCAATCCACTGAAGCACACCAGCCAAGGCTGCTCCTTTATATCTAAAACACCATCTGAACTGCTCTGTGCAGTTTCAGTTCCCTCTCATTTACCCAAAGCAATTTCACCAGATTAATTTTCTCACACACCACTACTTGACACACACATCCCTTGCTCAAAAACCTTAAGTCCCTGTTTCTATTTAATTAAATATACTCCTGGCCACCTCCCAATCACAGGGAGCTCTATTCCATTTCCCACTTTCCAATTCATATTTCCAGCCAAATATGAGTTAAAATGTGTCAAAATTTGTGAGTTACCGTAATATAAAAATGGTTATATTCTCCAGAACACTTTGCAGATCCCTGCTTCCTGCCTGTGTTCCTGGTGTTCTGTGCGCTGACTTCCCTGGTTCTGATGGGCTCAGCGGTTCTCACCCTCTACGGCCCAGGGGAGGCCTCCCTCCTTGGCGGAGCCTGTTCCACCTGCCCAGGCTCCCAGCAAGCTTGTCCCCTGAACCTCTCTGGGGCCTTCTGGGTGTAGCCCTCACCCAGCCTTTAACACAGACTAGGTATGATTCGCAATTATAAATTCGTCTCTTCGATCTGGTATAAATTACCGGTGGCAGGAACTTTGTCTTCTATTTCTCTACAGGGTGTCTATAAAGCCTGGAACCATCAATTATTTATTTTCAAACAGTGGATGACACGCAGTGTTGCCTGCCTTCTGGATTTCATGGGTGTCACGGACATCTGCTCTGCTGCTGCAGTGCCGCACACACAGTAGGTCCACAACTCCTCATCGCCGAACCATTTTATGTGATGGTTCAGGTATGAATGAAGTACAATATGCAATGATAAGGATTTAAAGAGATCAAGATGTGGTTTTAAAGAAACACTGGATCTTCTTTTCCCAGCAAATTCCGGTTTTGTTTCTCTTCCAAGACGTGGCCACCACCCACCCATGTGCACAACTGTTCCGTGACCAGCCATCTTTCCAGGCTCAGCTCTGGGCCTTCTCTTCTCAGGGAAGCTTTTCTCCATCCCTGCTGGCAGTAAGATGTCAACCATGGCGCTCACTGCATGTATTGTTTCTGCTTTGTCTGGATTCCACTGCTGGCAGTGAACCTGGGGGCCAGGAACTGTGTCTTGTTAGTAGTGCACCTTAATACACAGCGCCCAGTACTTAACTACTTTTGAATGAATGGTAAGTGATAACAGTAGGCAAGAGCCGAGTGCTTACTACCTGCGAAGCATTGCAGTAAGCACCTCTTGAGTAGGCTGTTTTTCCCATTTCAGATGAGGAAACAGACTTGGAGAGGTTAATTAAGCTGCCCAAGGTCAAAGGTGACAGTTTTGCTCCAGGCCTCCGTGTTTAGACTCTTGCTACCTAAATGGACAACGAAGCCAACCACCTTACCACCACCCCTGTGGAGAGGGGCTTTCCATTTCTCTCTCCCCATACCACCTGGAAAAGCAGGTGGGCTAGTGTCATCTCGGCTGTGGAGCTTCGCAAAGGGTCTCTGGGCACCACCCCAGACCAATAAAGACAGTTTCTCTGAGGTGGTGGCATCAGTATTTTCAAAAGCATCCAGGTCATTTTAACATGAAGCAGGGTATAAAATCATCGGCCCAGATTCATGCCAATGCCTTTCAAGTGAAGCCTTTCATGAAACTCGGGCCATAATGGAACTGCCTTCTTTTGTGACTCGGACCCAAAATGCTGCCTGGGAAGTGTTATGAACAATGCAGGAACACAGGGACACTTGATCACAGGGACAGTACAGGGTGAGGATCCTCCTGAAAGACTATCATTAAAGAGTTCATCAGACATAGTCTAAAACAAGCACTTAACTGTAAATACTTGGGAAATGAACTGTGGCTTAACAAAGAAGTGACCTCATATTTTGGTATAAGTGAAATGACATGTCATTTAATTTACACTTTGCCCCCTTTGAAATTTCCCCTCAGGATTGGGAAGTCAAAACAAAACAAACAGATGCAGCTATGTTGTTGCAAATACCAAATGGCAAAGTACTAGTGAGACCTTTCTGGATAATCTAATGCCATATAACATAATGTGCCCGGGAAGATAAAGATGGTTCCTGTTTCATCAAGCACGGTTACACATGGAGGGCGTGAATGGGTCTATTCTTGTTATCTTGCATAATAAAGTATCTATATTCAACAAACCGTATCTCACTGATCCATCTAGGAACTGCAGACTTTATCCTATCAATGTGGGCAGGCTTATAAAATATAATATTCAGCTTCAAATGTTTCCCTTAACATGAGAAGTACAACTGAGGTGACAGGAAATGCAGTGTCTCAGGGGCGGGGGGGGGCTGTTCTTGCCAGTCCTTGGAGATGCACAGCCCTCACCCAAGGTCACTCAGGGCCCTGAGGACAATGCGCTTTCTTTTCTTTTTCCTTTGCCCTCTTTCTTACCACTCGGTTGCCCTGGGGAAGGACTTGGGTATCAGTTGTTCTTCTATTACTTGGATAGAAGACAGATTCTTTTTAACATTATAGCTGAATAAACAACTAGAACTTTGACACAGTAATCTAGCTAGTTTGTCAAAACAAAATGAGAATTCTTTAGAATTTATCAAAGCTGCAGGTTGAGTCCTTTGTCCTTTTTGGAGCAAGTGCGACACAATGGATAGCTTTAGAACAAGCTGACTTTACTATGACTCAGGCATGTGCAACTGGTACAGTTCAGTAGTAACGAAAAGGACTCAGACCAATGCACTTTAGGCCAGAAACTTAAGTTACAAAATATAGTTAATATTACAATTAACACAGGTAAGTAAGAACCATTGCTCTCAGATTTTGCATATTTAAAAGACAAACTATACAATAATCGAAACTATGCATTTCTACTCAGATCGTCAGGGCGCATCACACACACACAAAGGCCTGAAATGCTGGGGTCACATTTTGGTTTTGTCCCAGTGACGTGTGATCACGTGAAATGTTACATCTGGTTCGTGTGAAACAAACGTTTGGCTGAAGCGCAGTAGCTGCTGAGTGCAAAATATTTCCATTAAAATGTTTAGAGTAAAATAATCCTAAATATCCTAGTATTTGGGATTATTTTGAGAGTCTTTACAAGGAGTCCTTATGAATTATAGAAATAGAAGCATCTAGAAGTTTCAGTGTACTTTGTCTATTTTTTTTAACACAAGTAAACAAATACTGGATTTAAAGTGCAGTTTCTTTCTCCTCTCCTTTGGATTCTTCTTCCCTTAAGACCAGTTCCGGGTTAGCTGTTAGAATCCCCAGGGAAGGCTGGAAACAAACTGAGCGATGGTCAAGTCTGTTTGTCTGTCTGTCTGTCTCGAAAGTCCGTGATGGCCTTCCACAGTGTGCAGAGCATCCCTCCCCTGTTGAAGACACAAGAACACGGTGAAGGGAACACTGCATTTGAAGCACTGCCCTTGAAACAGAAAATGATTGCTGGGATCAGAATGTGAGGACGCCGAAGTCGTCTTAGTCATTCTGTGTTCTTTTTGTGCACACCTCCTCACCCCTCCTGCCTTGCCTTGCCACTCCCACAATCTACCAGGTCCCAAAGCAAAAAAAGATGTTCAGCACTTCTGAAATGTCTTTATAGAAGCCGGTGTGAAAAAGCCAAGTTATGCTTGGCCTGATGGAAAAAAGATTATTATAGGAAACTGTATCATGTTATATCAGGTATTCTGATGACAAATTAGTACCCCAACCTAATTCCAAGTACAGCACAATTTGTTTGAAGTTAGGACATTTGTTTAAGGCAGTTTTAGAATAACTTCATGGTCTTGGTCTGATATAATGTCAAAAATATTATTCCAGTTGATCTGCATTTACTAATTGGGAATATTGGTTATTAGAGTTCTCAGTAACAGTCTGCTCCAACCAACTCAGTTTACTTAGAGCAGCCGAGAACGAGAGGGGTCGGGACTGCTCAGCCGGTTAGGGCTGCTCAGGGAGCCAGGCAGAAACCCAGACTTCTGTTTTGTTTTTGTTTTTTTAAAGATATTTATTTTTAGAGAGAGGGGAGGGAGAGTGGGAGAGAAACACCAGTATGCAGGAGAAACATCCATTGGTAGCCTCTCGCAGACCCCAGCTGGGGACCTGGCCTGCAACCCAGGCATGTGCCCTGTCCAGGCCGCGGGCCGGCCTCAGTGCACTGAGCCACCCAGCCAAGGAGCCCGGACTGCTGGATCTCGGCCCAGTGCTCCTGCCTTCGTGACAACTGAACAGAAACAAAAGTGGTACCTTAGCCTCAGGCATTTCAAGTCATCGCGTGTAACATAGTAGAGAACATCCACTAGTGAGTAATCCTCAGCCAAAAACTGTGGAGAAAGTAAAAGATGCATGAAAGTTAGAAGTTTTATATACCTTTAACAGCAAGCTCCATCCACAATGTAAACACTGACGATAATTACAAATGAATCTAAACCTATTAAAAACATAATCTTCTCTATTTACTAGGGGGAAGTTCCCCCTATTAAAAATAATTACTAAGAGATACACCCACGACTTTCAAATGCATAGGGAGTCTGAGCAACACAGTGTCTAAATGGTCCCCTAGTGAGCAGACAGGACTTGCTCACAGCCGCATCAGCTGCACATAAGATGATGTTTGTCTTCAGGAGGTTTGGTGCTCTCGGGCTTCTCAAGCAGGTAAGAAGTGTTCCTGAAAGGCACTACTTACACTTAATTTCTGAACTTATTTTCCATGCCTCATAAGAAGTACTTTCAAGTAATTATTAGAAAATCAGAGTCCTGAATTTAAACTGAAGCTCTTAATTTTAATTCCAAAAAAGGGGCAATGATTAAAGGATTATCAGTTACTCCTTAATTGTGATTTGAGTCTCAGTTCGAGAGATATTTTGGAGAATCTGATCACATGCATTATGTTCCATAGGCAAGACTATTTAAATGTAGTAGCAGTAACTTGTTTCAGACAGATTTCTAAGGAGACCCTACATAACAGTGGTCTAATAAATTATCAAGTCAAAAGAAAAGACATCTTTATTCTTATTTGTAAATTTTAAATGTAAAACAAATTTAAAATTTTATATTTACAAAGTTATTTTTAAAATTTGAATATAAAACTGAAATCTGTGTAATGCTATATTGAAGACCTCTCTGTACCAAAAAGTAACCTCCAACTGTGTGTACATGAGTGCACATATGTGTAATCTTAAACTAAACACATGCTATGCTTGCTGATTACAAAAGTCTGTAAGGCACAGAGAGAAATTAGGGTATTATAGACACAGTATGGTTTGTATACAAAGTGTTCCTGCTGTAAGTTCACTAACTGGACCTATTGTAAAGAGCCAGTGGAGTCTAACAATCTCACAAGAGAATTAAAAAATAAACAAACTTTTAAAGAATCAGAAACAGAAAACCATTTGTGTTTAGTGCTGTCTTGCTTCTTCCACTCTTATTTTCAATTTGAAAACATAAAAACGCCCAGCGGTCCTGAGCCACGAAGATGGCTGTCTTTGCACCATCTGCCCCGCGATGCTGGAAAGGTTTCCCCTTCTTGTCAGCCCGCCCAGAAGAGACCTTCAGGTGGCCTAGTTTATTCCTGCACATTCCTCGAGGCTTCAGCTCATCCACCACCTCCTCCAAGGACCCTCCTTAACCTGTTCCTCCCTCTGTCTCGTAACACCTGAGGAACTTGCCTTCACAGAATTTGGAAGGGCATAAACTTTTACCTGGGAAATTATCTGATGATCGTCTGTCTACCTAGTCCGTGAAAGTGGGCACTCACCACCAGGAGGTGAAAGAATGCGTGCCCCGGCTGTTTTCTTTACCTGACTGACAGTGTCTTCATCAGCTCCACTGTCTCTGAGCCAGTCGGTAAGTTCAGAGTCTTTGGTACTTGTGCCAGAAGATGAGTGATGCTCAGGCAACCCAGGAACAGCTAGAAGAGAAATGGGGGGAGGGGAGGCAGTTCTTAGCTTCACCTATGAGAGGTCCTCTGAGACCCCCCAGTCAACAGACATTTATTAATACTTTAACAGATTTTGCTCCAAAAATTAATAGAAACAATTAAGATGGGCAGTATGAACTATAAATAAAATGCTTAAACACTGCTTAATCTGCTAGTAAATGGAGAGTCAGAAGCAGTAATGTAATGATACTTTACCTTTTCCTTTCATTTTAATTTTATAGTTTCTTAGAATAAACTTGGTGTAGTAAAATTGTACTGTGTTTTTCATACAACAAAGACCAGTGTAATTAGCAGAGAACCAGATAATTGTAATAATCTTTTTCTACTATTTGCCATAATATGAAAAAAACTAGAATACACACAATACAAATGCAAAAATGACAAACAGTATAATTTTATTCCAGTAATCTCATTTGTGAAATCTTTACAAAGAAATAAAGACATAAAAGTGGAGATCCCTATTTACCTCAATAATATTTAATCTTAGGAAAAGATGACTATGAAGCATCTTATTTTTACTACCCTTATAAAAATAATGGTTTGCTACATTAAAAGTTGGATATTTTAAAAGATAAAAAAGAAATATATATACAAAAAGAGGAAAAACCTGAAAAGGAAAAAACAAAGAAAAAAGAGTTGGATATTTTTAAAAAGCAATTTGTTTGTGGATAGTTGTGGTACAAGTACCAGATGCCAATCGAGCCATGAAATAAAACTGCCTGTTGGCCTTTCTCAACTTTTCGCGGCAGCCTGGTTGAACAGTTTTAAAGTCTTCTGCTTATTCACCTATTGGTTGGGACTTAAGCTTCAGGTGTTTAATTTCTTGGTCTTTTTCTTCAATAGCGTGACGCAGGAGTGCTTGTAATTCTTTCTCTTTCTGAATCAGTGCTTCCAGTAACCTGCAGAAGAAAAGTGTATTGGTTGACAAGATAACAAAGGTGGAGCAGCCGGAGTGACCTTCTAGACCTCAGCTTCTCAAAGGACACTGAGCCTGGGCACCCTGGGGTTTCAGTGAAGTTCAGGTTCGGAGCTAGCAGGTCTGCAGTGAGGTCTGAGTTATCTTGGTTCGGCCTTGTACTTCCTACCTAACTCTGACGAATTACTTTTATACACTGTCTTGGCTTTAGTTTTCTCATTTGAAAAAAGGTAAAAGGAAAACTTCCTGAAAGAATTACTGTGAGCTTTAAATGAGACAATGTAGCTGAAGTGCTGGCCTTTAATAAGAGCTACTCTGTTCCCAGATGCAGCCTCAGGCCCTGGAAAAGAGCCCCACGCAGGGCTCAGGAGGAGCTCCTTCCCAGACCCCAGCTCTGGCCCTGCCCCCGCAGGACAGAGACAAGTGGCTCTCTGGCAGGAGAGAGGACCCCTGCAGAGCAGGCAGCAGAGGCAAGATGAAAGGAAAGCTCCAGAGGCAGCCAGAGAGGGTCTGGGGAAGACAGGTCATTTAAAGACAACTACTGTAAGCAGTGCACAATTAGGTGGATTAAAGAGAACTGAAAGCAAGAGGGAAGCTGAGGATTAAGGGAGATTTTCATCTATTCCAATAGGAATGATATTCAGAGAAATGGATAGCAAACTCAGCATGAATTTTAACTTGGCAGCTATTTGGTCTGGTATACATTTTTGTCTTTCTTGCTAATCTACATGTATGGAATAGTAACGGCACAGTTTTATTGTTTTCTCAAAGAACACTGTGGAACTTTCCAGAATTTAACCTATGCAAATCTAGACTGTATTAAATTCTTTTTACTTTTAAAAGCCATAAACTAACATTGGAAGCAAAGTACTGACAGGCTATGTTATTTGTCCCAAGTCCATCTCTCAAAATTATTTATTTTAAGGACATATCTGTTCTATCAGTTTTATTTTTACTTTGTCTTCAGTACTACTAGGAAAATCCTTAGAAACCAAGGCACTTGCCTGCCTCTCTATTCCAGAAGTTTGGCAAGTTTGGCAAGGATCTGCCCTGAGGTCAACTTTCTAACTTGGGTGGGGGTGAATAATTCTGGACAGGAATTTAGATAACCATTTAGCTCCTCCTGAATAAGGTTTTAACTAACTGCATTATTGTCCCAGTGCCCTGTGTGAGGTGAATTACCTTAAACTTTTTGTGCAAGCATATACTTAAATGTAAGTAAAACATACATTCTAAAGCCATTTTGTTCCTTTTCTCATTTAGTATTATTGATGACCTAATAATCCTGAGCTGGATATACCTGATTACTTTCTTTGGTGATTATTCTAAATAGCAATTTTCAACTGGTGCACTGCAAGAATTTTTATTTTATTTTATTTTTTTAAGAATTTTTAAAACACGCAATTCCTGACTATTTAGTCAGGGGCACTGACCTCTTCCCTTAGATTGACAAATTAAAAAATGACAACAGCCAACACAATAGCTGTCTGGTGAGAATGAATTGAAATTATACCTATTTATTTTTGTCAGATTGACAAAAAAATTTTTTTTTCGTGTGCCACAGAATTTTGGTAATTACGTGTGCCATGAAATGAAAAAGGTTGAGAACCACTGTCCTAAATATAAGCTTAACATTTCCAACCTGAGGGCTAGAACCTTTCCTAAAGACACACTAACTTTTTTCTAAGTTTACTTTGCAAAAAGTGTACTTCAATATATCAAGTATTATTCACTGAAAATTAGACGGACTGGTGTAGACACGGCCAGTCCCTCATTTCCACTGCTTAGTACGTGTGCGGAAGCAGCTGCCCTTTCTCCACATCATGTGTGAAACGAGTGTTGGGCCTGGTCCCACTTTCTGGGACTAAAGGAGAAGCTGTGGGAGGTGGTCCTGGAAAAAGGAAAAGGAGGCTGGTAATCCGTGAAATTTAGATTTCACGGATTTAGGCACAATGCACACACGTGGGCTTTTATGAAAAATGCAACTGTGTGCTAATGTAATAAAAAATGTGGCAAATCTTAGTCTGTTCAACAGAGACAGGAAGATGTAGCAAGCAGGTGCTCAGCTAGCTGACACCCTCGGAAAGTGGTGTGAGGACTGGAAAGCTGCCGGCGGGAGCAGCCCTTGGGGACTGCAGGTGGGCGAGCATGGAGGACAGAGCAGGGGGGACTGGGCGGTGAGACAGGAACTCAGATGGGCTAAGGAGAGAAGGAAAAGGCTGTATTTAATTTAGGAGAGGTGGGTTCTGTTGACATAAGCCAGGGTGTGTAGACAGAAGGTTTTAGGGCCAGAGAAGCAAACATACCAGCTCATGGGTAAACAAAGTGGATTTAGTGTCTGTATAATTCTGACTGGAAGCCATGGGCCAAGTGGGGTGGGGTGAGTCAAAACAGTAAGGAGTGAACTTTCACCTCCAGAGACCAGAGAGGGTGTAAAAACCAACTCCACTCAGGGTCGGATGACAGAGAGTCAATGCAAGGGAAGTGACTGAAGCTAAGGCCTACTGTCATGGACGGAGGGTTGGAACTGGACTACTACTCAAGAAGAGAGGAAATGAGGGACGCCAAGATTTAGATGGACGTCCCAAAGGAGAAAGGACTCAAATTCCTTTCTGCTGAGCAACAGAGATGGCAAGTTAAGAGCTGGGTTTCAAAGGGCAAGACTGGCATCTGGAAGTCAGAAAGCCACTTCCCTTCACTTAGAAAGACTTCTGTGTGCAAGTCACAGAAGACACATATGGAGCCACTGACACATGCAACCAAAATTCATATTCTAGAATATAGGATGAGCTTTGTACTACTTAAATGAAGCTTTGTATTCAAATTTAACCTTAGAAACCTAAACTTATGACTAGAAATAAATATTTTACCTCTCTGGTGAACAATTAGAATTTTCATCTAAGGTTTCTAAATATTTGAACGTTTATTGATTTACTCCAAAAAAAAAGTTTTCACTGCAAACCCAGAGTCATAAAGTCAGTTGCCCACATGTCAACTGTAGCCAGCACAGGAAGCTGTAAATCATGCAGATTCAGACCTTGAACTGTGCCAACATCTGTGAAGAACAGGAAATATTTACTCTTCACTTAATAACCTAACTGTGTAAGTTATTTCATTACCGCACTCTCAAAAAAAATTAAACTCCAGATATGACACAGCATATTAAAAATAAAGCCGAACCATAAATGGTCAGTAGCTCATCGTGTTAAGGTTCTAAAATGTGAACCATAGTTTTACCTCCTCAAGAACAGAGAGCTTCCTCTCCTAAAAACCCTGATATTCCAAATCACGGGCTTTCGAGAACGCAGGCTCTCGGTCTATCTGACGGCACGCGCTGCTCAGAGTCTGTGTCTAGGGGCTACAGTGAAGCAGCTCCTCGGTGCACTTGGACAGAAAGCAGCGATCAAGGAGAAGGTGCTGAGGTGTGAATTGGTAGAAACAGACAATGTATTTGACTGAAGAAACTAAGATAAATGTCTCTGTCTCTCTTTTCTTACAAAGACTTTAAATGGGATAAATGAACCATGATTTGTATTTTCTATGGACCAAACTTTAAAAGAGACCCAAAACATATGCACTTATAAAAAAGCCAGAAAAAAGAAACCTACCCATGTCAGAATAGGACTCACCTGTTTGTTTCTATTTTCATTCTTCCAAGCTGTACATTCAGAGACCGGTGAGCACTCTGGGAATTGTGGGAAACAGTAGAACTGAGCGTGCTCACTCCTGAGGTAGCCACAGCATCTTCAATAATGGCTCGAGGACTTCGGACGATTCGATTTAAGGGCTGTTCCTCGCGATCATCTTCTGCATCCAAGTCTTCCTGATCTGCAGTATCGCTCTCAGAGGCAAGGCCAAAATGCGGCCTCAGTTCTGTCAAGCATAACATCCACAACGGTGTTAATGAAACATGCCTGGGTGCCGTAATTAAGTCATGAATGTCATGTACCCTGCTGTCGAATAAGATCTGTATTCCAAACTGCTTTTCCAAAAGTGAGGATGATTTCTGTGCATTAATTCAGGTTTGTTCTGCCAGTGAATGTGCAAAATTCAGTAGGTATATAAACTTAATGACCTAATTCAAACAGAAGAAATGTTCCCCCTGCACATAAGATAAATACTAGAATCAGAAAGGCAATCACCATATTTTTCAGACTATAAGCACCCCCCTTCGCCCATTTGGGAGAAATAATGGCTGTTAATGCTGCTGTTGAGTTCTGTGTACATTTACGTTGGTGAAATATTATGTTGTTTATGTTATTAAATATTTGGCCACATTTTTTGCTTCAAAATTTTTTCCCCTATTTTCCTCCTCTAAAACCTAGGTGCACCTTATGGTCCAAAAAATATGGTATATAAAAACTTGTTAAGAATATAAAAGTTTGTTTATTCAGGTAGACTTAACTTTTTTAGATTATATAATACCTGGCAATTATTAACTCAGAAATGAGGAAACAGATACAGAGATTCTCTAAACAAAAGTAACTACACGGAATGCTTTTTGCCTCTAACAGTGAAAACGTGAGGGGAGGAGCCACTGAAAGGGCGCGCAGGCTTCCCTTCACTCCAGTGAGACTCTTTCTGACTATCGAGCTGTTCCTGGTGTGTGTCCTACCTGTTGACTGACCGTCATAATTTAAAATGCAAAAGTTACAACTCTCCGACTTAAACATACAACTACGACATGAGTTCACTTCATGCCACTTCAGAACTTGGATAATATCTATCTCCCCATAGAAAGAAATGATAAATTGTGATTACATTGTCGAATGTTCCAGAAAAAGGGATGAAACTCATAATTTAAGTGAAATTAGAAAAGCAGAAATACTGGACCTTGACTCCCTGTGCTCGGGCACGGGACCTTTTACTGGATCGCAGACCCACTGAGAATCTACAGAAGCCATGGACGTTCTCCCCGGAGAAAAGCACATTTGTACACATTCTGCCTGATCCCCTGAGGGCTCAGACACCCTGAAGCCTGTCCTGACAGCCCACAGACCACAGATGAAGAACCCGTGGTGCAGGACAGGGCTCCAGAGGGAGCCACTCTGGCAAGGCAACCCAAGGCCCAGCCGTTGCCCAGCCCTCTAAGAAACTCTTTCCCTACCTTACTGGACCTGTGCATAGCACCTTTCTCTAGGTGTCTGGCTGCTGCTTCTCTGCTTCAGAGCCTTTCTGCCTACTACCTGTCTTTAAAGGTTGGAACCTGGAATTCTACCCTTCACTTCATTATGTTTCCACCTACTCTACATGGGTGACCTCATTAAAATCTATGAAGGTTAAATAGTTGTAATGTGAGATTAACAAACTATATTTCTAGCCCAGATCCTATTACATCCAGTACCTCCTTGACAGTCCTGCTGGGCAGGCACTTCAAATTCAACAACCAAAAAAGGAAGTCGTCTTTTTTCACAAGAACGTGTAAGAGCGCCCTTCTTAGAGTCAAGCTGATGTACCAGTCCTGACTTCCTTTATCTCTTTTTGTTTTTAAAAAATTGGGGGGGGGGTAAAAAGTGCAGGACATAAAATTTATCATTTTCACTATTTCTATGTGAACAAATTACAGTGTTAGGTATCTGCATACTGTTGTCCAACCAAGCTCCAGAACTTTTTTATCTTATAAAACTGAAACTCTATACTCATTCAACAACTCCCTCTCCCCCTCCTCTCTGTCCTTGCCAACCACCATTCTACTTTCTGTTTCTATAAATCTGACTACTATAGATTCTTTATATAAGTAGAATCAGACAGTATTTGTCCTTTTGAAATAGGCTTATTTCACTCAGCATAATGTCCTTAAGGTTCACCCATGTTGTAGTGTGTGTCAGAATTTCCTTCCTTTCAAGGCTGAGTAATGTTCCACTGTATGGACGTACCACGTCTTCTTTATCCATTCATCTGTCAGTGGACACTTATATTGCTTCTAGCTCTTGGCTATTGTGAGTAATGCTGCTATGAACTTGGGTGTTCATGTAACACTTTGAGATCCTGTTTTCAATTCTTTTGGGTATATACTCAAACAGTAATTGCTGGATCGTATGGTAAGTCTGTTTTCAAGTTTCCGAGGAGCCACTGCTGGTTTCCATAGCGCTGCACCATCTTACAACCCCACTGACAGTGCACCAGGGTTCCAACTTCCCCACACCCTTGCCTTTCACCTTTTAACGTTAACCGAGCTCCACCTCTACTCTGCTTTCTTAATTATTGACTTTTCTCTTTCCAAAATTCCATTTCCTAGTTCATCTATAGTAGGAGTGACTCAAAATCAGGTGTTTTACTTTGGAAACCCAGCATCTAGTATAGGGGCTATGACAAATTAGTCTCTCAGAAAATGTTGGCAGAATGGAAGAGTTATTCTATTAGGATTATTTGTATTTAGAAGAGAACAAAATAATAAAAAAATTTTTACTTAATTTTTAAAAAGATTTTATTTATTTTTTTTAGAGAGAGGGGAAGGGGGGGAGAGAGATGGAGAGAATCACCAATGTGTGGTTGCCTCTTGCGTACCCCCTACTGGGGACCCGACCCACAACCCAGGCATGTGCCCTGACTAGGAATGGAACTGGCAATGCTTTGCTTTGCAGTCCAGCACTCAATCCACTGAGTCACACCAGCCAGGGCTAAAAAATTATTTTACTTTAAAAATAATTTTATAAAGTACAACTCTAGGTTAAATTAGAACATAAGATTAGACTTTTTAAATTTTTCTAAAATTATTCCTAAATTCCTTTTATGGTCTCTAATCTGAAATTTTTTAAACAACAAGTTTTATTGTCCCATTGGCTATAATGTTTTGAGAGAAAAAAATCTGATATTTATTATTATATTAATATCTCCTAATATACACCTAATTTTGCACACTTTAATGATCATAAATTATCATTTTATGTATGACTAAAAAATTCTCTCCATCTGAAGAAAGTAGAACGTTGTAAGCTCACGTAATGCTCTGTTATCCTGGTCTCGCATGGTGGCTCCCTGGGGAGACATCATCAAATGACACAAACCGTATTGTAAAACAGCCAAATGAGATAGGGCGTCTGGTCCTTGTCCCCAGACATAATATTCCAAAGGAAAACCAGGATGAATATACAAAAGAGCCCCATGAGCCTGTACAAAAGTAACATGAAATTATAAGTATAAATTAATACAGCCAAAATATCTTAGATGGTCTCAAGTATAGACCTAACTATATAATTCACATGTGCATTACAGTGCTAAGGGTTAAGAGTGCTAAGGGGTAAATAAGGCACATTTGCAATAATTAAAGCAAGTGGTGATTTACTCACTGATGGATTTGCTGAGGAAGAAGGGCCTACACAGGGTCTGCAGGGGAGGAAAGCCTTGGCTTGGTGGAGAAAGAGGGAGAGGCCTTTGAGAGAAGGAAGCTCAGAGGGTGGCCCAGAGGCCTCTGAGAAGAATGGAAAGCAGAATGGACCGTCAGGAGAGAGCCAAGTGTCAGGAAAAGGCAGGGACTCAGGGGCCTACACGGGGTGGACAGTGATCACACCCATGTGCGGGAACCTAGAGCCAGCGCGTGTTTCCAGAACAGCGAGATGGGGTTAAACAACGATACTGTCCCCACCTCCCTCCCCACTTCCAACCCAACTGGTTATTTCCCCGGGAAAATAACTAGACCAAGCTGCTTTAACACAGGGTATTTCTGATGCCAAATGAAATCACAACACTCGTCAGTGCACCGGGTTATGATACCTGCACTTTAAGATCCTCCTGTGGTATAGGATGCTGGGCCTTTTACTTTAATGTCAACATGGGGCACATGACTGATTCAGCTTAACAACTGGTAGCAATACCAAGTGCTTTAGCAGTTTTTAAAATTATTGTTGGTACAGGAATTATGTCCACATTATCGGTTCTCTCCGCCTAAGCACTGCCAACGTGGTCTCCAAGCTCAGCACTTCTCCATCTGCCGCCCCCACCACTAGGCTGCACTTGAGGGGTCAAAAACATACCCAATGCTGCCAGTCACCTAAGGGCTGACTCTGAATGACAAGTGAGAAAACAGCTTGAGCAAAAACTCTTAAGGAAACACTGTTCTCCTTGGAAGAAGATTGAGCTCTTTAAATTTTTTTTTTACTTTTTATTTTGAAATAGAAATAACAGAAAAGTTGCAAAAATAGTACAGAGACTTCCCATACGCCCTTTAGCAGTTTCCCTAAACGTAACACCTTCCGTGGTTTTGACACTATTACCAAAACCAGGAAGTTAACAAAGATACAATACTATGAACTACAGACCTCACTTGAACTTCACCAGTTTTCCCACTGATGGCCTTTTTCTGACCCAGGATCTCACAGTGCACTGAGTAGCACTGTTTCCTAAGTCTCTTCCAATCTGTGACGGTGCCCTTGTATGTCTTTAGTGTCCATGACCTCCACACTTCAGAGCAGTGCTGGTCAGTTATTTTGCATTATGTCTGTAATTTTTAGTCCACCAATGTCATGTCCTATTTAGGTTGAAGCTGTGCATTTCTGTCAAGAAAAGCACAAAGGTGATGCTACGCCCTTCTGAGTGCGTCATAGTGGAAGGCACAGGATGCTGATGTGGTTTATTGCCGTGATATTTACCTTGATCGTTGTGTAAAGAAGACATCTGCCAGGTTCCTCCACTGTAAATTCACCGTTTTCCCTTTGTAATTACTCCATATCTTGGGGGAGGTATTTTGAGCTCATTCAAATATCCTGTTTCTCACTGCTCGTCTGCCTAGCAACCTCAGCAGCCATGGATGGTTCTTGCCTGCAGTCACTACTGCAGTGGTGTTTGCCTAATTCCTTCATTGCTTCTACTCTTACTAATTGGAATTCTACTAAACCAAAGACCTAGCCCTTTTTCTCCATATATTTATTTATTCAATTGCCTAGAGCAGTATGGACTCATGGATTACATTTAGTTTATTCCATGGGCTACAATCCCATGCTATAATTAGTGTATTGCTCAAATTGCTTAGGCTTACACTTGGGGGAATGCCTTAAGCTGTCTCCGGTGTCCTTTCAATAAGCCTCCATCCTTCCTTTTGGGGGTGCTTCCTTACTTTTGGCATCACAAGATGTTCCAGGTTCATCTTGCATTTCCCCTGCTTCAGGGATCAAACATTTCTCCAAGGAGCTCTGATTCCTTTTATTAAAGGGATGGTGACCACAGGTGAGGGATAACGGTGGAAAGAAGGGGAAGAGACTAGCTGAAGAGCATGTGTGAATGACCCGTGGACACGGACAACCTAGAGGGCATTGACTTTGGGAATGGGGGGCCAGATGGGCGGAGGAGGAGAAGGGGGGAAAATTGGGTCAACTGTAATAGAATACAATAAAAAACTAAAAAGTAGATAAAATTAATTAAATTTATAATTTGAAAAAAAAAGGAATGGTGTTTAGAAACCAAAATCTGGGTCCTCTCTGCAAACAGAGCTAGGAAATGTGTGTGGTCACAGTGACATACTTTTTAAATCTGTTGTTTTCCTTAGCATGTCTTTCAAAATTCAGTAGGTTAATTGTTGTCATTTGTCATCCAAAAGGAATTCTGATCAGGAGAATATGAAGACAGGCAAGTTTAACGTAGCTCCCTTGAATCCTACGGCATAATGAACCCCTTAGGGACGTGTGGAACTCTGGAGGACCTGCCAGGTGCCTGAAATCCGTTCACCCTGTCACCCGGGCCCATCGCCCTGTAACGGCAGGAGGTGCAGCCCATCTTCCCTGGTCCTGAGCGGGACAGAAAAAGTACCTTATGTAATCCTCCTCTCCAATTTCCACTTAGAAAAATCCTTTCCAGCAGTACTTTCAGTTGTCACCTGAGACTCCTACTTAGCCAACCCTTTTCATAAAGAAAGTGCCTCGCCCCACATGTGGGTCGGGGCAGTGCATGCCCACCTGCACTCTCACCCGCCTGCCCTCCCTGAGCGCAACAGCATTTCACCTGTTCTTTAACCTCTGTGTTGGAAGAATTTTAGATTTATGGAAAAGTTGCAAAGATTATACAAAGAAGCCCCATATACCTCCCACCCCTTTATACATCTTATGTAACTATGATACATTTGTCAAAACTAAAGGTAAGATCAGCTAAACTCAGAGCTCATTCAGATTGTGCCAGTTTTATGCTGATGCTCTTTTTTCAGTTCCTGGATATAACCCATTGCATTTAGACAATCCATTTTAAAAGAAAGGTGTGTGTGTTTTAAATTAGATTAACAGATCCTTATCTGCTATTTAACTTATTCTAAGATATAATCCACTTTTCCTTTTCTCATTTGGGCACGCTTAATTTAGGCAACTACTGCATTTCACTCATGGCTCCACCTACCCCTCTGCGGACACACGCCCGTTCCCTCACCCGGTGCCCCTCGCCAGCACGCAACCCCGCCGCGGCACAGCCTGCACACCCACGCTCGCCCCAGTGACAGGCCATCTGGGTATCTGTTAACTTCCTGGGCATTCTACGTTAGTTCTATGTTAGCTTTCTAGTCCTTGGGTACACATCCAACTGCTAGTCCTATGTTTCAAAGCCTCTCTAGATTTTTTCTAAGTTATGTTCTAATTTGTTATAATTGTATGAAAGTCATTTACTTATTGTTTCAACCGATCTTTGTCATGGGTCTACTGTTTTCCAGGCACTGTGCTGGATAATATGCTCATCACCGAATAGAATAATACAAGACACCCTCTCTGGTGAGGGAGACAGCCAGTAGACAAGAAAGTAAAAGCAGTTTCAGATTGTGGCAAGTGCTGCAAATGGGGAAAAAAACATTTTCAAGGAGACTGAATACCAGGGAGCCTACTTTAGAATTTGCAGTAGGTCAGGACTCTCTTACGAGGTGTCTTTTAAACTGAGACCCGAAGAAGGCAAGGTACAAGATTGCAAAGGTACGAGCAATGTTTCTTACGTAAGAGATAAATTAATGTTTCATAATGTTTAATATAAAGAGTGATACTGATGCCTTTAGTCTCAAGTCAGGCAAGGCATTCTGGGAGAAGGCAGGGAATTCTACAACTTTGAAGTATTGAGGGTGACTTAGAAGTTTGCAGAACCATCTATAAATAACCTAAACTTTAAAATTGTTTATATTTATCTTTTAAAATTTCTAGCTTAGAATGCTTTATAATCTATGTACAAAATAGTACAATAGGATATGTTTCTAATTTATGTATCTAAATCTATCTACATACAGACACACTACACACACTACACACACAGAGAGACACACATATATGGTGAGAGGGCTATCAAAACACTTTGGAAAACAACTCAGAGTGTGAATACGCCCCTCATCCCTGGTCCATCAGCATTGCCCAATTGTACCTCACTGCAGACACAGCTGCCATCTGTCTAGACCAGAGATTTCTGAACTTAGCTGCGTATCAGAATGACCTGGGAGGGGGATTAAAATTAGATTCTCGGACTTTCTCCCCAGCAGATTCTTACTAAGTCTGCGATGGAGCTCAGAAAACTAATACTAAAGAAAGAACTCTTTATATATCAATCAAGGCACGGGCAGGTTTGGGGACCACTGGTAAAAGATGAGACAGGAATGTGTTTTGTGGGTGCAGACAGCTGTATATTGAAATGCATATGGATGTAGGTCACCTGTACAGTTTTATCCTTCTCCTCATATCCAAACATGCTGTTTAAAGAGAAGGAAGCAAATGTTCCTCACTCGTCATCCACATTTTGCTTGCTGGACCATTGCTCAGACTGAATGCCCTGGATAAATGCTGTTTGTTGACTTGGAAAAGATTAAATAAAAAGGCTAACCTCCTTAACCTGGTTTATAACACAGCAAGGAGACACCATAAATGGCAGATGAACAGTCATCTAAAATATCAAACACTAAACATTTACAAAGTAATGAAGTATTTCTGACCTGGGACCAGAATGGTAATGGCTGTCTGTACCGCCTTCCGGATGATACTGTCTAAGGCAAACATCCAGTGTGGCTTGATGTTATGGTTCCGAAGAACTTTATTGACCTGGAGGAAGAGAGTGACACTTAGTCTACTTTAATTTTTAATTGCAAATAATTTAGCTGATGCAAGCATCTGGGTGGCGGTTTATCAACAAAATAAAAAGTTTTCTTCCCCTTGAGATGTCAGTAATTTATATCACCTGGAAAACATGTGAAAAGTTGCCACTTCAATTTAAAGTTCACTGAACCCCATGTAAGCCAATGAGTTGCCGTCTTTAAAGGAAAGGCATTCCTGTTAAATTGGGAGGGTGCTCTTTCAGGACTCAGAACACGCAGCTTCCGCCTTTCACGACATCTGCAGATTAGATGGCTCAGGAGGTAAAGGCGGGGAAAGAGTCGGAGGGCCTTTAGATAAAAATAAAAGTTTCCCTAAACGTTATGACTCTGCCGTCTAACCCAACCAAATGCTTCAGCACACTCTGGTGACGTGGAAAAGCAGGTGAAGGGGACAATGAGTGTGTGGTGCATGCCCGGACTTCCTTCCCACACCTCTTCACATCTCTGTAAGCGGGAGAATAATCTGTTAAAGTACTCCAGAAAGCTGTTCACATGAAAAAGTCTTTGTTGTCAGGGTATGTATGTATGCATGTATGTATGTATTTGGTTTCCGAGAGCACGTATTACACAGGTCTCAGTGCAGGAAATGCCCAACCACTGCTGTGTTTGCTTTTACAGCTCATCAGGTGCCAATGGCAAATCCGGATGCTTTTGAGGGTCCCCTGGGTCTTGGCCCCTCTGGAGCAGGCTGGGCCCAGGCTCCTGGATGAGGGGCAACTTCTGCATGGAATGTCCTGCCTCCCGTCACCTGAGGCATCAGGCACTTTGGCGACGCCCAGGGCCAGCTCCTCTTTCTCTGTTTGTGCACACTCAGGCTCCCACAGCCGGCTTTGGCTGGGAAGCTCATGAGGTTGGCGCACCAGCCCGGGGGCCCCGGGTGGCTGTGACTTCCCCTCTAGCCTAGAAGACAGGTTCTCAGGGTGGGCTGGAGTCGTGCCTTCCAAATCCTGGGAGCTGACCAGCCCACCTTCCATTGTTGCCCTTCTGCTTGAGGATGGCCCCTCTGAGGACTTAATGAGGAATTTCCAGGACCTGAGGTGGAGCAAGCAGTGGGGCTAATGGTGGGGGTGCGTGCTGACAAGCTGGGAAAGAGTGCTGTTAGTGCCTGGGTGTGGAGGGGCTGGGCCTTCAAGAAGCCTTCAGGGGGATGGGGTCTGTGGGTCCAGCCCTACCCAGGCTGGGCGCTAGTGACAAGGAGCTGGCTGCCCCCTCAGAGACGTGTGGGATGCCAGCCCCCTCTGGGGGACACCAGGGCTTTCCATTCTGGGGTTCCAGGGCAAGAGGGCATCCTCATCCTCACCCTCTCCTGCTCCTCTGAGGGGTAGGTGCTGGCCCACTTCTGGGGTAGGTACCAAGCTTGGCTCCTGTACACCTGGACTGTTCTCAGGCCCCTCGTCAGTGTCATCCTCTGGAGAGTCAACCTCACGGATGGCTCCCTGCTTCTGCAGTCACTCTGGCTGCTCAGCTGGGCCCTGTCGGAGGGTGTCTAGAGCTCGTGAGGAAGCAGGCTGCAGCACCCCCTCCCTGGCAGCATACTCCTGGTCCCAACTACCTCCAGAGAGAGGACTGACAACCTGGGTGGCACTTCTTTAGCTCAGGGTGGGGCAGGTCAAGGCTATGCTTTCGAGAAATGGCTAGTTCTTAGAAACAGCAAGTGCAGCCACCAGTTTCTCGGCGGACTGCACGCAAGGGTATCTTTTTAAAGTGACTAGTAATATTTCACACATTTCAACAGACACTGAAATAGATGTACGCATTATCTTTTTTAAATTGTGGTAAAATAAGCATAACATAAATTGATCATCTTAACCATTTGTAAGTGTGCAGTTCAGTGGCATCGAGTACAGTGACACTGTCGTGTTACCACTGTCCATCTCCGAAACTCTGTTCATCTCGCAAAACTGAAACCCTGTACCCATTCATTGTAACTCCACACTGCTCGCCCCCAGTCCCTGGCAGCCACCATCCTACTTCCTGTCCTGTGAATTACAGCTACTCTAGGTATCTTACCTAAGTGGAATCATACAGTATTTTTGTGACTGGCTTATTTCACTTAGTGTAATGTGTTAGAACTTCCTTTTTAAGGGTGAACGGTATTCCACTGTATGCATATGTATGCATTACCCTTTAAAAATGAATTTTATCATAAGGCTGAAAGGGGCTTATTTAAAATTTGGATTAGCTCCACTGACTGTTGGTTGGCACCGGCCTCTAAGAAAAGAGGCTGGTTTTCTGACAGGTGCCTGACTAGAGATCTTGAGGTGACCGAGCTGTGATCCCATAGCAACAACTGGAGTTCCAGTTGCCAAGTCCTGCCCCTGCAGCATCTTCATCAAAATCCCTGTCAGACGGGAATGGGTCAGAGGAGCCACGATGCAGTTCCTCACAGTAGTCGTTCCCAAGGAAGTGAAGCACTGCCCGGTGCTCACTTGCTCTCGGAAATCCTACCAGAACGAGTCTGTCCTGGTGCCTTCATCTCTTAAGGACCTTCCTGCTTACTTAACACTGGGTATAACATCTGGAAAATTAGAATGTTTCTCTCCAGAGTCACACACAGAAGATGAACGAGGGTCCTCAGGAACCATGACTTGCTCCTCAGAGCTTGTCATGAAACGTGTGCTACACAGGCCCCTCCCTCTGGGTGCGTTCCCATCCTGGGTGGTGGGTGAACATGTGACTGAGAGAGAGTGTGCGTGTGTGTGAGTGTGCCTGTAGCATTTAATACTAATGACAGGCTTTGCCAGTTGTTTTCATTTCCCATGACCTCAACCAAGTCAGGGGTCTCGTTCCCACTCACAATGTAGCCCAAAGACCAGGTGGCTTCACAGTCTAAGAGAACATCATTGTTTGTGGGAGAATTATAATTCAGTTTTAAATCAAGAATCATTTGAGGCTCTAAATATAATTGTCATACTTTCTACATAAAAGCAATAAATACATTAGGAGTAAATTAATTTTTGAAATTTAAATAAAATTACACAAAGTACTTCCATATTTGCATGAAAGCCACTGCCAAGAACTCTCTTATTTTATTTATTTATTTTTAGAGAGAGAGGAAGGGAAGGAGAAAGAGAGGGACAGAAACATCAATGTGTGGTTGCCTCTTGCACGTCCCATACTGGGGACCTGGCCCACACCCAGGCACGTGCCCTGACTGGGAATGGAACCAGCAACCCTTTGGTTTGCAGGCCCACACTCAATCCACTGAGCCACACCAGCCAGGGCAGAACTCTCTTATTTTAATTTCCTATACCTTGTAAAGACCTTCCAGCAATAGCTTCAGGGTTTTTTTGGTACAAAGTTCCACAGATAAGCCCCATTCAAAAATAGAAGATATGGGTTTGAATCAGGCTTTTGGAAGACTGACTTCTAGTTGGTGTTGCATAGCAGCTAAGTTTGAGAGAGAGGAATTGTCAGCAATGTGTCATTACATCATGTGTATTAATTTTCATTCACTAGTGCCCTATGCTCTGAAGTATATTGCTGGCCAGGAAATAGTGAATATTTATTAAACAAATATGTTTAAAATGTTCTGAATGGAAACCGTAGAAAAACTGAAAAAAAAATTTATTGGTTTTATTCAGCAGTGGCCATTCCAATCTGTATGGTCATTTTCTCAGTGACCACTAGATGGCATCTGTCCTACAGAATTAGAAAGTGCATGACTCAAGTGAGTTCTGTAGCTCAAGTCACCAAAAATAGTGACCCACTGCTTAATACGTAAGAACAAAGGTCAGCCCTGGAAGATGTTTGCAACTTTTGCTATGTTACACGGTGTTCAATTTTATGTGTATCTAACTTTGGAAGATGCAAATACAGAAAACAAATCTCACACTTACAAGCACACAAAACATCAACCACCTCACACTTCTCCAAAGAGAAGACAGTTCATTGAAATTATTGAAGAAAGCAAAGTGTCATCCTACTTTTTTCTGACTCATTTTAGCCAGAGCTTGTGGAGAAACTTGGGCAAAACTCCCACACTTACAGCATCCTGAAAACTGAAGAGTACCACCTGGACCTGGCTGATGCCGTGGCTGTCGAAGTCAAGCTCTAGCTTCAGCTTCGACAGTGTGGTGGCTATGATTTTGCGGTCGGTGGATCTCACAAACTCTCTGAGGCTCATGACCAGGGTTGTGACGTGCTCCCATTTTAGTTTCGGTTCCTCAGACCCCTGCAAATAAAAATTGTGTCATTCAGTCAGTGCTGCACACATCAGCACAGCCCGCCACTCCCACGGCTCCTGCTGGGAACGACTGGGCTTCCAAACGCTCCCCGCCAAGGAGGAAGACCCCGTTTGGATGATATGGCTCCTTCCCCTTCCACCTCCCTCCCCAAGAAATAATGAGACTTTGGGAGGAAGGGCACCTACCCCATGTGTTGGCTAATAGCCATGATACAGTCTGACGTACAAGCTTTGCCCAAGCAGAGACAGGTGGAGGCAGTAAGATTCTCGCTCTCAGAAATTTTAATCAGAAACCAAGGAGGGACTCAAGCAATAAGCCATAGGACCTCAAGCTCAAAGTCTCCCAGAGAAGGGTGTCATAAAACAGGGACAAGAGTACATCCAGTCATAAGGAAGCTGAAACCATGAAGTTGAGAATGACAATCAAGAATGATACAGAGAGAAGTGGACACGAACAGCAATGATACGCTGGAAGGCCCACAGCCACCAGGCCAGAGCAAAGACGCACAACATCCAGGAACCTGAAGCCCCTTGGAATCACACTCCGGGCTTGTCAAGGCACTGTGGTCGGATTCCTTAAGGGTCCACTTCCCTCCCTGCTGGGTCTCCACCTGCGTGTCCCCAGTACTTCAACTGCCCTTGAGTGTGTCAGTTCCTTGCAAATGAAAGGGGCTTGCTTCAAAGTCCGTCCTTGAAACGACTCCTTACCCATCCATGAGGCCATGAGTTATTAAGAATTGATCAATGGACTATTTTATATAGTAAAAATAAAAATACAATTTAAATAAATTCTCTTCTCAAGTTGAAATTTTTTTACTTTGCTCAAGGAACATTGCTTTCTTAAAGATGACATGGTAGGATGTTATTTACTCTCAGGATTTTTATTGTGCTTATTTCTATCTCATATTATAAATTCAATTATGGAATCATCAAAATTAAATTCCTCAACTGGGTTGTGAAAATCACAATTTCTAAGATTCTATCACAATAGAAGAGAAATGCCCCATCAAGTTCCTCCTCTCATATACTTTCATCTGAGCTTCATCTGGAAGCTCGCTCTCATACTTATGTTTGCAGGAGAAAAGATTATATTGCAGCTTGAAAGCTGTCATGAAGGAAATATTTTCAACTCAGACTGGGAACAATTACAAACTGTTTCTTTTCTTACCAAGAACTAAATGACCCCCAAAGTAAAGGTTCACAGGCAATATCATAATAACATGAAAATATGTTCAAGAAGAAAAATGTGTTATTCAGGAATTGGAAGCTTAGCTTAGTGAAAAATCATGTTTGTCAGCAGTTGAAATAGCAAGCATTTTTGACATTAGCATTGTTTTTACAACAGAAAAGCATGCTGCTCCTGATTTTTGGATGTGAGCGCCACTGTCCTACAAAGGAACACTGTCTACTCCAGGAAATGTATTCTCTCCTGTATTTCAGCCACTTACATAACCATTATTTGTGTCTTTACCTCCTATCTCCATGTGCATTCACTAACACGCTTGCATAAATGAGCTCCTTCATTATCACGTAAGCCTGATCACTACCAGAAGGTGGCATTTGACAGGGTGCCTTTTTCTAAGCATTCCTGGTGCCATCACAGAAGCTTCTGCAAAGGTGCTCTCTATTCTTTATAGTTTAAATTTCCTTAAAAACGATGAGTGGATGTCTCAGACTGTACATGCAAATGTGCAGTCTGAAGGACGCTACAGACTGAAAGGGCTTCTTGTGGGCTGTTTTCAGGACCCGACCAACATCTACACTTTGGTCTTGTTATTAAGGGTAGGTTTAAAAGTAAGGCTGTATCTAGAAATGTTTAATACAATGAAAAGAATTATTTCTATCTGGTGGTAGAAAAAAAGTAAAGGTAATAAATAATTGTTATTAGCCTGTTTGCCAACAACAATAATAATAGTGAACATTGGTGGAACACTTTCTATTACCATCTCAATTGCTCATGACCTTAGTTTTCCTTATAGTATTTTCTCTTTTTTGCAGATGAGGCAATTCAGAGAAATTAAATAGCTTGCCCAAATCACACAGCCTTTAATTTAAGGTGGTAGAACCAGGTCTCACAAATAGAGGCAAGCTGAGGCTGAGCCCACGGTCCCAGTCATTACATTCTTCTGACCCCAACAGCTGAAGCGCCAGCAGTTAAGCCTGGGCCAGGACCTGCTTCCCCACTAGGCTGTCAGGTGGTATCACACAAAGGAAAGGGTTCAGAGTCCTCAGCCGTATGACAGAAGGACCCTCGCTATTACTTGATGATTCTGGATTTAGCACGTGATTCTGACCAGCAGTTTCTGGTCCTCACTGGTCTTGCCCTATTGCTGCACCAAGGCATGCCCTCTGACAGTCTTTTAATAAGGTTTTCTTTCATTTCTCCATGTACGGAGAACATTCAAGTGTGCTTAAAAATGAGGAAATCGCAGAAAAATTGAATAGGATTAGCCAACATCAAAATTTAAGAATTTCAGCACAGTCATGGGAGTGAAATCTCTTGCTGGGCTCTGTGATGGGACAAGGGACAATGACAGTGCTCCAGGCTGGCTCTGCCCCAGTGGACATATGGTCCAGCAGGGGACGAGGAAAGACCCCAGGCAGACCTCTTCAGTGCTGGAAGAGCACACGCTCTGGGGATGAGCACTAGATTCAAGCAATCCCTGGGCTCCATCTTTCTGGCCTGAAACAGCCATCTTATACTAGTGGCCCCCGGGGAGCCCTTCAGTCCACAGTGGCCAAAAGTAATTCCCTCTGCACCTCCCCTTGCAATGCCACCCGCTCCCGCGCTTTATGTTTCTCCCAGCACTTGTCACCATCTGTCGCCCAGGAAGGAGAGCAGTGTGGTGGTTGGGAGTACAGACCCAGGAGCCAGACTGCCTGGCTCTGTCACTCAGACCTGTGTGGCCCAGGCAGGGTAATTGCCCCTCTGCAAAACGAGGGGGCTAGGAGAGACGGCCACGACTGCAGTGCTCCTGTCACGAGGGCTTAGATGAACAAGTGCCTGTGACATCCTAAGGAAAGCACTTGGCCCACAGAAGTTGCTTGTTATTGCTAATGGTTTAAAATTTATTCTTTTTACAATGCTTATTATGATTACATATTATAACTATATATGTTACCATGCAGGGTGGGGCAAAAATAGGTTTACAGTTTTGAGTACACGAACATAGTTTATTCTTGTATTATTTATTATTTTCCATGCGAGCACCTGTAAACCTACTTTGGCTCCACCCTGTATATTTATTGACATACTCACTCATTTTTTATGTTTGTCTTCCTCCTGTAGAATGATAACCTCAACAGGATGCAGGGTTTTTGGGGTTTTTTTTTTCAGTTTTGTTTGCTGTAGCGTCCCCAGTACACAGAACAGTGCCTGGCGTGTGGGAGATGCTCAGTATCTGTTGAACAAATGCACTGACCTCCCACTGCTGCCTGACTGCTCTTTCCATCTGAACTGGTTCCCCTTCCCATTTCACGCCAGCCGATGCTCAGTCCCACAGTGACAGGAAGGGAAGGCAAGAGAAAGCTAAAGGTTCAAGACGCTCCCGCGTCCTCCTACGCCTGGGCAGCACCCCAGGCCCTCATCCTGCCCCCACTGAGAGCCTTGGCTACCCCCATCCAAAGCCCCTCCTTCTTGGGCCTCGGAGTAACTACTCGAGGCAGTTTCCTTTAGGTCTCATGTCAGGGTTTTCCCAGAAAACAGATGGTGCTCATTTCAGTTCCTTCTATGGGATCAAAAGAGGTGGACAGTAGAAAACTCTGAAGGTGATGGAGTCAGCAGAGACACTTAGTGGGGTCTCAAGACAAAGATAAGCAGGGCTGAACAGCAAGAGCCAAGAAATGTGTGTGCACACTCACACACAAGCCCACCCGGTCCGTGCACGCCCCAGTCCAAGCCGAGGACAGATAAACTGCTGGACGGAGAAACTAAACACTGACCCAACTCCTCTGGTTCTGCCCTTTTTGCAGTTGCCTCCCCAGGTGAGAAGGGAGGGAACAAGGTCCATGCAGTCCACACCGATCAGGGAGGGCAGGTTGTAGCCACAGGAGCTGAAGCGCACAGACAAGTCCCTGGTGCCCATACGACAACTAAAACAGCACAAGTCCGGGACCGCGCGTGCCTGTGGGGGCGCATAGCCACAGGGGGCAGCCCAGGCAAGGAGATTCCTCCTCCCGTCTGTAAGCAGAACCCCAGGAAATCCATTCCCAGGTACTATGGGCTGGACCGTGTCCTCCTCCTCCCCAAATTCCTGTGTTGAAGCCCTAACCTCCAATGTGACTGTATTTGGAGACAGGATCTCTATGAGGTAACTAAGGTTAAATGAGACTGTAGGGGCGGGGCCCTAGCCCAGTGGGACTGACGTTCTTGTGGGACTAAGAAGAGGAAGAGACACCAGGGGTGCACAGAAAAAAAAAAAAAGCCGGGTGAGGACGCAGCGAGAAGGCTACCGCAGGCCAAGAAGAGAGGCCGCAGAAGAAATCGAACCTGCCAACTCCCTGCTCTTACACTTTCTGCCTCCAGACTGTGAAAAATAAGTGTCTGTCATTTAAGCTGCTCAGCCTGTGGTATTCTGTTATGGCAGAATGTATATGGCAAATCTTTAGCTTTGCTATAACAGAATTCTGTTACAGCAGACAAGTACAGGAGGGAACCAGAGTCTGATGGGCCGGCTTGGTGTTTTCACGCACTAACGGCCTCTAGCCCACTCTATCTATAATGACTGATTATTGCCCATCGCCCTCCACCCAAATGTGGCCCCCCAAGCACAGGGTCTCGGCTGTATCTGCAATGTTTCCTAAATGCTCAGAGGAGCGACTGTCAGAACTAATTCAAGAAGTTCATCACCAAGCCCTTATTATATGAAATGTTAAAGGGACTTATCTAAGAAAAAGAAGTAAAAAAGATGACAGTGAAAGGACAGCAAACTCACAGTTACTAAGAACCACACCTAAAACAAAAGCAAACTAAGAGGACAGCTAGATCAGGAGTGAACCATAGAAATGAAGATCACATGGAGGGTTAGCAACAGGGGAGTGGGAGGAGGAGAAGGGGGGGGAAGGTACAGAGAATAAGTAGCATAGATGGTAGGTAGAAAATAGATAGGGGGAGGGCAAGAATAGTATGGGAAATACAGAATCTAAAGAACTTGAGACACGTGTTCATGAACTAAAGGGGGGGATGGTGAGGGAGGGGGGTGCAGGGTGGAGGGGAATGAAGGGGGGAAATAGAACAACCGTAATGGCATAATTAATAAAATATATTTAAAAAAAAGAACTAGCAGTTCACGTTGCTCAGTGTTTGTTGATTGGCTGAATGAACAAATGAAAAGTAAAAGAGGCTCAGAGGGACTACAGGGAACTTCATCCACATGAAAACTTCGCTTTTGATTTAAAGATAGCTAAGTGCTTAAAACTGGGGATCCTGCCCGAGGGGTTTGCCCGTTTTCCCCTCTGGGGTGGGTCTGCTGTGCCCCATGAGCGCTGCCGCTTCCTCCTGTCTCCACGTCTCCCGTGGCAACCCCCACTGCCTCCCGCAGTTAGAGAACGTCAGCTCTGGGGACGCAAGGTCTCCAGGAGAGGTTTTACCTGCGCCAAAGACTCCATTAAGTTCCTCACAACTTTGTCTTGGTCCTCCTTCAGGATCCTGTGAAGGGTGGCCCGTCTTTCGCTGTCCTTCCTCAGCAAAAAGAACCCGGAGTCTTTTTCCTCAGGAGAAGGTGGGGCGCTGTGGTCCTCAAAATTTTCGTCTGGAATGCTGTAATAATTTACACCGTTGCATAAATCACAGCTGCCTTTAGAAAAGGACACACAATGCACTTCTTTTACCCAATGTAAGTCGGGTCTTTACCCCAGAAAGAGGGTCCGCATTCCTTTTACATCCTTCTCTCCGCAGGACTTGGCTCTGGTTTTGAAAGAGAAGGGGTCCACCTTCAGCTCCGTGTCGGGGGAAACCGAGCCGTACTCACTGCTGCTGCTCGTGTCCTCCACCAGGACGGGCACCGGCAAGGACACGCTCCGCAGGTATTCTGCTTGTCGGGAGGGGAAGACGGTTAATGTCTGAAAAACGCAGGCACACTGGAATTCCCACGGGAGAGGGCAGTGTCAGCTGTCAAGTGTCTCCTGCCAACGTAAGAGGCTGGTCACCACATCCCCCCGTGCCCATTACATGACCACGCTGGGGGGCTGGCGAGGAAAGGGTCCCCCGGACCCTGTGAGGAGTATCTCAGGGGCATGAAACAGTGGAGGGAGCACCAGGCCCAGTGTGTCTTGGGTTCCCATTCTTTTATTTTTATTGCCCCCATCAAACTTTAGAAAGGTCATTTACAGATTTCACCTCTGTTTTCGTATCTGTAAAATAAAGGACACAATTCACAATTTTTAAACCATGTTCCTCTGAGGTTCGAGGGTCCACCTTAGCATCTGGGAGCTGTTTTGCATGGGGTGAGTGAGTAGGGTACCGTGATTCTAGAATGCAGCTGCCAACCGTGTTTCACCAGAATGGGTTCTCCGCTAAACAGACTTCAGAAGCCACCGGACTAGATGATCTCTTCCCTACTTCTCAGATACTCTGATTCTATGGCAAACAGGGCTTTTCACTTATTTTGATGGAGTCTGAGTTGGCCCAAGAGAAGCTGCCTCATTTCATCAAATCCTGGTTTTAAAGAAAGTAATTTTTGCCAGGAGCGTCTTTATCTAACAAGTGTCCCAATACCACAAACACCTTTTACTAAACGAGGCAGAAGTCAAATTGTAAAAAAGGAAATCCGGTTTCTCAGAATCCCCCTTTTTACTGAATTCCTTTTGGACTGGCTGAGTCCACAACTGCCCCCACAGACGTGGGATGCTTCCCCTGCAGTGGACTCCTGACTCTGCCCACTGAGACTGCAAATCAGTCGTTATTTACAGCCAGGAGGTGACTGAGGAGAAGCCACTTTTCCAAGACCACCCAGTCAACAAGTGAACTCCAACCCTTGCGCTCACCCTCTTCATTTTGACTCTAAAATCTTAAGATCCCATAGTATCTTAGTGAAGTTAAACTCTCGAGCCAGAGCAGAGCCCAGAGTTCTCTTGAATGACCTTGAGCATGAAGGGTGAGTGGGCATGTGGGAAATGTGACTGACTCTGAGTTCAGCAGATTTACACCTTCTGCCTCATGCTTATTCTAAGACACAGGTTCACGGAGAGGGCCTGTGGGCAGAACTGTTGGCTGAAATCCTCTCCCTCTCTCCCCAAGTGCATATAGTTGAGTTCACATAATTTAAGAGAGAGTGTGTGTGTGTGTGTGTGTGTGTGTGAGAGAGAGAGAGAGAAGAGAATCTGTTTCCTACACCGCAAACCACGTGGAAGGGATAAAACTACCACAGGTTGAGTTTCTGGGCACGACTTTAGGCTTTAGTATATTTAAAAAATTCTGTCCTCAGAACCCAATCTGTGAAGCAGGTATCACTGCCAACACAGAACACCAGGTGAAACAGGTAATCACTGCACGTCACCCGTTCAGAAAGAGGGATCAGGCGGGATCAGAACCGACTTCTGCACAACTTGAAGTGAGTGCCCATTCCACGGCACCTTCCGACAGCGGGCTGGTCGGAAAGCTGCGGAGCACTCCGCGGGTTCTACCTCGTGAAAACACAGCGACTGCCTCCCAGAGTCCCGGCTGCCCACAGGGAACGAGGAGAGGGAGAGGGCTCTCCTCTGAGTCCTCAAGCTCAGAGGTGAAGATGAAAAACCGGAGAGGCGGGGGCTGAGAAACAGTGACTACCGCGTCTCCGCTCTAGGCTGACGGCTTTGAGGCGCCCAAGGGACCTGCAAAGACCTGCCCTGGAGTGGGGAATAACACACTTTAATCTCACAATGTACACGGAGTGCCCCACCCCCACCACAGTATTTGATCAACAAATCATGCAACTTAGGCAAATGCAAAACTGCGGTCATTCCTTTGTTATTCCCTGAAATAATCTAGTTGCTCTTCCTAGAGTAAATTTATCTTCCCAGTTATGATCTGCAAAGTCAGTATTAAAAACAAAACAAAGGCCCTGGCTGAGTATCTCAGCTGGTTAGAGTGTGGTCCCGATGGGCCAAGCTTGTGGGGTTTGACCCCTGGTCATGGCACACATACAAGAATCAACTGACAAATGCATAAATAAATGGAGCAACCAACTGATGTTTCTCTCCCTTTCTCTCTAAAATCAATAAACAAAACAAAAACAAAACAAAACAAAACACAACTACTCCTGACCACTTAAAACTAGAGAGAACAGACAACCCCAAAGATGACAGCGCACGGTGTCTGACACTGAGATTTTCCTCAAGAAATCCACTGGGTGGCCAACTGGTTCTGAGATAAGGAAGTGTGGACTCTACTCGAATGGAAGATTTCAAAAATATAAACACCGCCTTGCATTTAGGGAGGAACAACTGAAGCTTCCCTCACGAAAGAGACGGGGGAGGGGTTTCCAACAGAATGGGCCCAGCCCGGATTGCAGCTGCACACGGTCCCCAACAGCCGCCCACGTAGGCAGGGAGTGGAGGGGGAGCCTATCTGATGGGCGATCTAGAGGGATCACCAAGCTTCAGCTCAGTGGAAAATAAGACAACAAACTCACCATTTGATCCAGGTGAAAGGGCTGTGGGAGGAAAAGCAAAGAGCAACATAAACACATTGGGTTTGTTGTTAGACTGAGAAATCAGACGAAGTGGGGACCTGACATGGGAATCGATGTCCTTTCCAAGCGTTCAACCTGCCCATCCCCATCCCACACAAACAGCAAAACTGCCCACAACAAATAGACCATTTACTTGTTTCTTCTCTCAGAAATGAGCTGCGGCAATTATTGCAAATATACAATTTATATTTTTGCGCTGCTGTTTACTTATAACCGGTGATCCTTTTTTGGGGGGGGGGTGAAAGGGGTTAATTATTCAGAAAAACATTCTGTAAGAGGCCATGGGTATTTATTTTTTACTGCTTAAAATTAAAAGAACATTTTCCAAACAGCTTGGAAGTTTAACAGCTCAGCTCTGTAATAGCTCTGTAACCCATCAGTGGTAATTTGAAGTTTTGGCTCTAAAAGGCTGTGTTTCACCCCTTTTACCCTTTACCCTTTGTATATCAGGAATGCTACAGACATGCTACATATCAGGAATGCTCAGAGAGTTTTACACACCTACTAACCAGGTGATGGCAGACGATTATGCACAAGACCCTGGCATTTGTGAGGGTGGTGGTAGCACAGCTTCCTGGCACTGAAACCGTGCCAGTGTTTACACCATCCCCAGTGATGGCTACAGACAGACTGGCTTACCTGAAACACTGTCCATCTCAAAAAAGCTTAGGATTTCACGACTCTGACCCATATCCTCCTCAGGGCAACCACGTACCTGAAAGCTTAGGTTGTGTCTTTTTCTTCTTGCTTGAAACTTTTAGGAACTCATCAACGAGCAAGTCGTTAGCATAGGCTCTCTTATCAGGGTCTGGCTCAAAACACTTCAGGATGAAAGCCTTGGCCTCTGCTGACATGCACTCCGGGATCTCCGGGTGGACTTTAAACATCCCCACCTGTGATATGGCAGAAAGTGACTTCTGGGTGACATCTCATTACATGAGCTCCAGGTTTCATAACTTGGTCTCTTGGTGCAACCAAATCTTTCACCACATACTACCAACGCACGGGTTTTCTCAAAGTGAGATGGGATCTTTTTTCTGTAGATTACAGAAAGTTTCCAGAGTGCTTTGGTAACTAGTTTAAGACAACAGACGGCACTATGAAGTAATTCAATCCAAAAAGCTTTAGGGCACGTTAGCATGCTGGCAAGCAGAAGAGGCATTTTCAACCGGGACCACTCTGTGGCCGTAACAGCCAAGTGCCAGGAACTGTGCTTTGGCTTTTCCCATTTTCAGTCAGCGCCTCTCACCGAACCCTCCCAATAACCCTGTGCATTCAACATTACACCCGTTACACAGTGAGGAAGATGAGGCCCGGGGGAGTCGGGCTCTACGGTTATCAAAAGGCAGGTCTGGGATCTGAACCTTACTGTGTTTGGCTCAGAGTCTGTGTTCTTTTCCTCATGCCATGAGTTACGAACACTTCCCTGTCTCAAGTCGCCTACATTAAAAATACTTTAAATTAAATAGACTTTTTATAACAATTTCAATTTTATTCTCACTGCTGCCATTCTAAACATGTTTCTCAATGTTTTCACGTATCTAGTACAGAGAAAATTTTCTAAGGGATCTTTTTTTGTTATATAGGTTATATAAATGTATTAGTACATTGAGAACAACATACAGTTATTTGTAATATTTACACAGCCTTTACTATTCTCAGTGCTTTGCACATATCTGATATATTCCTCAAAAAATATTTGCCACATAAGTAGTATGTTTATATCCATTTTTGAGATGAGGAAACTGATGTAAAAGAAGGCTGGTGATTTGACTGGGCTGGAACCTGTAAATTGGAGCCAGAGCCTACAATCTCATCCAACGCACATCATATAATGATCTCTGCACCGACAGGTAACGTTGCAGCATTTGCGAGTGAAGTCCTAGGCAGTGGTAAAAACCTGAAACTTTGACCGGGAAGAGAAAGCCACTCACTCATGTCAGAAAAGGCAGCTCTCACTGCCCTTCAGGTCTGGTGACACTGGATCAGCAGTATCCCGTCCCACCGTCTTCAAGCTTAAAGTCAGCCTGGCTTTGTACAAAGCAGTGGTGTGTAACACGACCCCTCATCAGAGGCTGTTCACAAATGCAGTGAGTGCTGAAAACATGCTCAGTGGCAGGGGAAGAAATAAATAATGATCAAGAGTCCTCTGCCTTAGAGAACAGAAGACATGTGAGTTTTACTTCTCAGGAAACAAGTTCTCAGTTTAAACTTCCCTCTGGCTTGGTGCGTGGCCAGTGACAACAGCAGGGACTCAGATTCGGAAGCGGTGGCCCAGGGCTCTCGGCCTTATTTTGGTATCAGATGCTTATCCTTTTGGGAGGTGGGGCTGCTTCCCTCTCCGCCAGAGTTGCTAACAGGCTAGTAGCGTATGTATCTGAGGCTAAGACTGGTGTACTTATAATAGCAATCATGCCCTTTTTTCAATGGAGGTTTCAAACTTTTATGATAAAGAAGTAAAGGGAAATTTTGCTTTCATTTAATATTTAAATGGGTAACAAAATGTTCTCATATCTCCCTTTGTGGAAGATTTCCATACTGGGTTTCCCAAAGAGCTGAAGTCATCTTCCATGGATGGTGTGAACAGGTGGTCAATGGAAGGTACAACTAATGCACTTTACAGCTGAGAAAACTAAGGGGGACAGATCCTCCATCTGAGGCATACACATTGGTGGAGGGGAGTGAACCTGCCTGAACTTTAACATGCTCTCGGATAGTGCTTACTTAGTTAGGCTCCTTGCCTTTTGCCTGAAAACATATGACATACACAAATGGAATACCCAGTAGCTTTGTCCATTGGTTTATAAGGTATTTAAGACATATGAAATGTGACCTTGAACATAGCTGCTTGTGGTTCTCCCAGTTCATAAAAGGGTGGTTTTCCGGTGGCCATTTCAATGATGGTACAGCCCAAAGACCAAATGTCTGCTGCCTTTCCATAGCCTCTTGGTCCTTTATCTATTATTTCTGGTGCCATATACTGAAGGGTGCCTGGAAAGAATTCAAACACAGTTCCACTTTAAAAGAGAAAACAAGCAAATATACAAAAATGACGGTTTCAATTTCTCTACATAAATAAGACAACTTATAAAAGCATGATTCAGGTCTTAATGTCTCATCTTTTTTGAGTTCCAGTTTTCTCTGCTGTTAAAAAAAAAGAGAGAAAATAGCAGTCTTTGTAATGGATTTTATTAGTGATACAAGAATAGTTTACCAATATTATCTGGTTATGAACAGATATTTTCTAATTTCTTAAATACTATAATTAAGGCATCATCCCACTGGGACCTCTTAGAAACTTCTAACAACTGGTCATCTGAGAACAGAGAATACATCAACACATTTTCTAAAATCAGTTTTTCAAGCACATGAAAACTCTTATTATGTATACTTCTATTTTTTTCCAAGAAAAGTTTAGGTCATTCATCCATTTCCTTAGAAATTACTGATTTAAATGCTTAATCCTTCTGTTTTCATTCTTATTTCTAAATCATTAAAGCAGGAAGATTCTAAAAGCTATTGTTAGAAATAACATAAAAGTATAAATCAAATATATGTGGTTCTGCAGTGCGCCCATGTCCACGGAACAACAGGTCTGACAGGCTGAACGCAGGTCACGAGCCATCAGTGCAGACCAATCACCAGACTCTGAGTGAAGAAGAAAGAATAAAGTGAAAAAGAGGGACTTAAAAGGCTGTGTGGAATTAGAGTTGAAGAATGCAGTATGATTAAAAGAGCATTAAGTGGGGAGCCGAGATTCTGTGGTTCTAGTTCTGTTCTGGTACATCTGCGATGAACACTCAAGCGCAGTTGTATCGCTGGCTCAGATGAGAGGCTGCGTGTGCCTTTCTAACACCTGCTGCGGTGATTCCCTGGAAGTCTCGAAATGAGAACGGAGTGTGAACAGAGAGAGATTACTGTCACATCCCCTGCTTCGGATATACTCATACAAATGATATAATCAGCAAACAGGAACTCATCCAAGATGCCATCTTGGATTGTTTCAAATCCTGAGGCATTTGCCAAAAGAGCAAGTCACTATTTTCTGATTTATAACCAGTGACAGACATTTCAATAAATACAGACAACACCTTTTATGAATGCCCGTGCACGATTTGTAGGTGAAAGCTGCTATGCAAAATTCCTCTCAGTTGTTCCGACGAAAATCCACTGTTATGCGCTAGAAACTGGCTGTTGTCATGAAAGCAAATAAAGTATATTAACTTCGTCAAATGCTGTCATTTTGGCAGGTTTATCCTCCAGACCTCATCATTTCATGGCAGTAGCTCGTTATGTTCATGTTCACATACACTACACACATCTGCTCTCAGTTTAAATCAGCAAAATTACTGGACGGAAGCATTTCACCTGGCCAAGGATAAGGTAACCACGCTCCTCAAATCACTACCCTTGGTGACTTATCTTCATTTATAGCTTTCTCCAACATAATTATTTTTAAAAAGATTTTATTTTTAGAGAGAAGGGACAGGAGTGAGAAAGAGAGGGAGAAAAACACCAATGTGTGGTTGCCTCTCATGTACCCCCTATGGGGGACATGGCCTGTAACCCAGGCACGTGCTTTGACTGGGAATTGAACCAACAACCCTTTGGTTCACAGGCCAGTGCTCAATCCACTGAGCTACACCAGCCAGGGCTGATTTTTTTATAATGTAAATAAAATCAAATGGTCTTTAAAAAATATATATTGGAGCTCACTGCTCCTTTTTGTTGTCTCTTGGTCGAAAATAGGGTTAAGGAGAAAATCTGAGTAGGAATCACAACTGACCAACAATAGAGTGAATTGAAAAAAACTGAGTTGTCCAATTTGACAATAAATTATGCAATGTTTTCATTCATTAGATAATATTTCAAAACACATTCTCTGTCATTCGTGTTTAATCATCCCCCACTGAGCAAATGCCAATAAGAACAGGTTAGGTCTTGTGTTCATACCTGCTCTCTATATTCCACAAATGCATGACACATAATATTTTATATAAAGAGCTTCAAGCCAATCTGGGGAGCTACTATAGCTTAGTAGCTAAAAGCTTAAATTCTGACATCACACTCTGTCCATTCATGAATTCATCCACTTGGCTGTTCTATAGCGAAGGCCTACTATGGGCCAGGCACTGTTCCAGGCACTCGGAACACAGCTGTGGAGGAAACAGAAATCCCTGCGCTTGTGCAGCTGACACTTTTGCAGTGGGAGACAGATAATAAACTACAGCATAATAACTAAGTAAATTATGTATTATGTTAGGAAATTATGTGTTATGACAAAAAAGAAGAGCAAGAAAAGGGTAGCAGGAATGCCCAGGGAGGGCTGCCATGGAAACAGGGAGGGCCTCACCAAGATGACATCTGAGTACATAAGACTTAAAGGAAGAGAGGGACACAGACCTGCAGAGAGCTGGGAGAAAAGTGTCACTAGCTGAAAGAAAAGCAAGTGCAAAGGCCCTGCGGCATGATGAAGAAATGTAGGAAGGCCTATTTTTCTGGACAGAATGAACAAAGGCAGAAGAGTAAGAAATGAGGTCCAAAAGGTAATAGACTCCGAATCAGGTCGGAGCCTCATCTACCCCTGTAAGGACTTGGGCATTTGTTTGCTCTGAAATAAGTAGAAAGCCACTGAGGTCTCTGGTGACAGGGTTTCAGTTATGTTTTGAAAGGATCACTCTGGCTGTGACTGAGAACAGACAGTAGTGGGCCAGAGAGGAAGCGGGGGGAACAGGAACAGGCCATTGAGGAAATGCGGGTGAGAAATGAGGGTGGTGGCCGTGGAGGCGCTGAGGAACTGCTCCAGCTGTGGACACACCTGGAAGGCAGAGCCAGCAGGTTTCCCTGACGGACTGGGTGGGAGTGTGGGAACAGAGGCACCATGGGTGATTCCAAGTTTGGAGTGGCCAATCAATGAGGAAAAGTGTGGGTGGAATAGCTCTGGGAGAAGTTCATTAATTCCACTTGGCATGTTAAATCTAGTTTGAATTGTGGCTCTATTACTAGCTTTGTGACCTTGGGCAAATTACTTAACCTTTTTGAACCTTTATTTTCTCCCCACCAGCTGGGATAAGGATTAGGTCTGGATTTCAATAAAATAACATATATAAAGCATTTAACCCAGTTGGGTATACAGCAAGCACTCCATACTTGGTGGTCGCAGCTGCCTTCCCCCTCATCACATCACTGGGAGGTGAAACTCATCAATGTCTCTCACTGCATTTCATCAGAGGCTGACTCAGCCCCCGGGACTTGGCTAGCTCTGACTTAGGGCTGTGCGGCCGGCAGGAGCACATCGAGGTCTGCACACCAGAGGCCTTGTGATCAGCGCTGGAGACGGACTCCGCACACTAGTCACCATGTCCCTCTCGTGTGAGGCCATTGGGAGAAGGACAGGCAAGGTTGAGAGGGTTCTGGGATGAATGCTTTACTACAACTCCTTCAAGAATCAATCAACATTGTTTTCAAGATTAGCAGAAGATACTAAATTAACACCTTGTCCAAAGAAGTGCTGGAAGTAGGGATTTTCCTCTTAGAAGTTACCAAGCCCTTACTGGTGTGGCTCAGTGGGTTGGGTATTGTTCTGCAAACCAAAAGGTCACAGGTTTAATTCCTGGTCAGGGTACATGCCTGGGTTGTGAGCCAGGTCCCTTGCTGTGGGTTTGTGCGGGAAGCAACTGACCCACACTTCTCTCACACATCAATAATTCTTTCTCTCTCCATTTCCCTCTCTTTCAAAAATAAATAAAATCTTAAAAATTTAAAAAAGAAGTTATGAGTCTTAGATACATCTGAAATGTCTCTTGCCAAAGTGTAAAGACATTTAAAGTTACTAATAAGTTGGAATTGATTTTGTTTAAAAAATACATTCTAAATGTGTCTAATTTGTTACCCCGAAATTCCCATTGCCCCGAGACTAGGAACTAGGCCAGAGGTGTTGCAGATGGAATGTTCTGAGGGGAAAACTTAGGGAATTTCTCTCTCTTCTTTTTTTTCCAGGCTTCCAGAACAGATACCTCAGCAAGGTGGAGAAAAAGGCTGACTGAAGCAAGAAGTTCAAAGCAGAGAACAAGGCTAGATTTAAAAAGGCAAACCAAAAACAACCCTGAGTTCTATCATTTATAAACTGGTGTGACTTCCAGCTGTGTGTGATGTCCTGTTCTCTCCCAATTTCCTCTTCTGCAAAGTGGAGGCACTATTTTCTACCTCACAGAACTCAGAAATGGGGACATCTGGCCATTGTGCTTTCTATTCAACCCAGACTATTATCTTTTCTTTTCCTAAATCTCCCCCTCTCATAATAATAGTAAGAACTTAGTACTTCATGAGAGAACAAAATGGAGCGATGAACACTTGGAACACACAGCAGGATGATGTTCCAGGTGCCCTCCCCGTAACTGCTGGGCAGGCATTAATTTCTCTGAGCCTCAGTTTCCTATTGGCTACTGTTACCTTTTTGGAAATCACTTTGTCTCCAGCCTCCCAGGATTCTGCTGCAGAGGCAGCTAAGTGGCTGCATTGCCCAACTTGTGAGGACAGCGCTCTCCCCACCCCACTTCTGAGTTGGTGAGTCACTTCCTCTTTCCGGACAGGAATCCTGCAGCTATTTATGTTGTGAGTAGGGGAAAGCACCACAGGGAGTAAACAGAGGAGGAAAGAGGGAATTCATAGTCCACATGGGAAGTGATTAAGGTATGAGTAAGAATCACAGAGAGATCAGACTAAAAATGTTAAAAAAAACCCCATCTTGTCAGGATTACAGTGATTTGTAGGCCAACCAGGAGAGAAGTAACAACATGAAAAGCAAATAACAAATGCATAGTTTTTAAAAAATCTTCAGTAGCATAAAGCAAGGAGACTGAACAAGTCATATAAATGCAAGATGAGAAAATGGCCAGATCAAATTCCGAGTAACACTTTTCAGTAATCATCAGAAGGTATCAACATCAATGTTTGTGAAAACAACTTATGTTGTCTCTCACATTATGTTCAAATGCAGTAATTATTTCTCTATACATAACAGCTGTATCATCATTGCAAACACATACCAGTAAAAGTTTCAGTACTTGGGTTTATGCCAGCAAGCCTCTTTGATGTCCCGAAGTCTGAGATCTTGAGAACACCACTATAGGTATTAATCAACACATTGTCACCCTAGAGAACAGAGAATTTGAATCAAAAGTGTTATCTTTCTTTCAATACTATTTATTGTTGGCTTGCAAGTCCAATAAGGAAAGGCGATCTTAGAGCAAACAAGGACACATTCTGTACTCTTCACTAACAGTTCATTTCAATAGTGAATTCTTGACACCATTTTTGTTTATATTTTATCAGTTGTTCACGGTCTGCTACCTGGGTCACAAGATCAAACATGGTTCCTAGATAGAACTTGCTGTATTTCACAGATAGCAGGGGTTATCTGTACATGGCACATGAATGATAAATTATTGATATTCATAATTTCTCAGACACTTTACTTTCTCTTCTGTGTTGTTCTACTTCTTTTTCTGGAATATTTAGGGATATCACAAATAAACAGGCATTTGGCTTGATTTTAGTGTAGTGATATTAACTTACTTTTCCATAGTCCAGCCTGTGTCAGAAATTGACTAGCCCTGAATATTCTCTTTTTAATGAGATCCTACTAACTTACTTTAGTTCAATCCATGAAAAAAATCACAGTTGTGAGATTTCTTTTTTCTTCTAATAATTTATTCGTTGAGTCAATAAACATGTACTGAGCAGCTCCTATGAGCAAGTACAGAAAGGTTTAACGGGCCTCTACGTTCTCCGGAGCTGGGACAGACCCTGCTCAACTCTGCCCTGCTGCACCAACCCGAACACAGGACGAGCGCCAGGAGTGCAGTGAAAATCCAGTTTTTGTTCGTTGAACATGGTTAAGATCTTTATTCTTTAAGTAGGTAAGATATGGAAATCAGTAACTGATTCAGGACAGAGCAAAATCTTGTATTTCTATTTCTAAGATTTATTTAATTGCCATTTGAAGTTAATGTTCATAACACAGCTTTTGCAAATACAACAAGTACCTACCATGGAACTCACAAAAATACATCCTAGTCCATCCTACCTTTATGTCCCGGTGAACTATCTGATTGTCGTGGAGGTATTTTAATCCTTCGAGTATTTGCTTTGTATAAAATGCAATAGTTTGCTCATTGTCTTTCAGTGGGCCCCATTTGGAACGAAGGAGAGCGGAAAGGCTCCCTGTAGAGTAGGCAAAAACAGCAAATAAAATCTCATCCAAATGAGTTCCTTAAAGTACATTAATAATGTAACACTAATTTAACCTAACATTTATCGATTATTTACAGTGGCCCAGGAACTGTACCAGATACTTGGGCTCAAATATGAATAGGCGTACATCTGAAGAAACCCAAAACACTAACTTGGAAGAGCATGAGCACCCCTATGTTCATTGCAGTGTGTTCTTTACAATCACCAAGATATGGAAGCAGCCCAAGTGTCCATCAGTAGATGAGTGGGTAAAACAGCTATTGAACATTTACACAATGAAACACTACTCAGCCATAAAAATGAAGAAACCTTTACCCTTTGAGACAACATGGATGAACCTGAAGAACATTATACTGAGTGAAATAAGCCAGTCAGAGAAAGACAAATACCATATTATCTTGCTTATATGTGGAATCTAATGAACAAACTGAACTAACAAGCAAAACAGAGACAGACTCATAGATGGAGAGCAGATGACAGCCAGTAGGGGTGGGTAGGTTAGGGGGTGGAGGGACTGAGCTAAAAGGATAAAGGACTCATGGGTATCAGAGTTGTGACTGTGGGGGGAGGGAAGGTATATGGGAAATAAATGGTAATAGAAAAAATCTAATAAAAAATAAAACTCATTCTTTTAAAAACTTTAAAAAATATATGAACAGGGCCCTGTTCTGAGTATCTATTCAGATCCTTGCTCTGAAGATGTTCATCAACAGTAAGTAGTAAAAGACACGTATTTGCTGATCTTAATCAAAGTCACAATAACTAACATAAAATGGTTCAGATATTTATTTATTACCTTCTAATAAACTGCAAGGTAATGTCATATGGCTAAGTTTTCTTTTAACTTGGGCAAAATAAGACCTGTAAACTTGTAAATCCCATTCAGTTTTACTCCTCTTCTAGGCCCTAGAGATTTATAAATTTTAAAGAAAGAAAAACATCTCTTACCTCCTGGAACCTGCTCCATGAAGATCTTAATGAAACCATTCTCACTGATCGAACCCAGATACTGGACAATATTCTTGTGCTTCAGGTGCTTATGCAATGCTATTTCTTCATGCAGAGGCTGGGAGTATCTAACAGACATGCAAGTGTTAATGAGTTAGTTATGTAGCCAGACTTTAGTGCATAAATTTGTACAATATAAAATGAAAACATCGTGTGTGTGTGTGTGTGCACGTGTGTGTGTCTGTGGAGCCATGGTAAGGTCTGAGGGGAACTGTGTCAAGCACTATTGTAAGCCTTTTGTAGATATGAACTCATTTCTCACAACCAACCCATGAGAAGGTACTACTAAGATGGCCATTTTACAGACGAGGAAATTGATTCACAGAGCGGGTAACTAACCTGCCTAAAATCTCAAAGCTTGTAAGTGACAGAGTTAAGATTTGAACCCAGGAAAATGGAAATCATCCACATAGCTCACAGCCTACATTCACATACCTTTGGCCTCATAATGTAATTTGATTATGGCCTCTTTGGCCATAATTCCATTGGCCTCATAATGTAACTTTACTATTCCAGAAAGATAAAAATTTAAGTAACTTTAATGTTTATTCCAGAACTTACTGAGAGACTCACAAACTCTTCAGTGAAAAACATACAACCATTTATATCCCAATTTTCCTTGAGCTTTTTGCCTAGAAACCCTTACATTACTGTGTCCGCCAACTCTATTATATCAGGCTTTTAAAAAATCAGTCCTAACTAGGACTCTACACTGAAAGACCAGCTTTAAACCAGACTTCAAAATCATATACTTGGTATATGTTGTTTGATCAGATTATACAATGAAAGTATTTCATATGACTGGAACGGACAGAGGACACTTTTGATGACTATTTTAAGTACTATAAAATTTGCATACTCTTCATCCCGAACCTACTGTAGCTCTAATTTCATTATTACATAACTAACTATGGTAGGATGTCAGCAATGATAAACAGAGTATCAAAACTATTACCTAATTTTTTCTGCTGTGAAAGGAAGGGTACAGGTATGAAAGGCACTAGCTACCAAGGCATGTTTTAAGTACAAATCTGATGCTTCATAACTTGCTTCGGTCCTACATGCAAGAAATGTTCAGACACTACAGTGGCAAATCCATATAAGCAGAATGGATTTTTGTGAATGTCAAAAACAAATACTAGAATTGGTTAGTATTGAACAGTATTATTTTCATGAATCTTTTCAAGATAAGCTATAAACTAAAGCAATACTGAATTACAAAAAAATCCCAATTTGTTTAATGTAAACAAACTTTTTAAAACTGTGAAATATTACTCAGAAAACTGCCAACAACAAAAAATGGACTTTTACTCATTTTATCTCCTGCAGAATAGCTCTAAGAACTATGAAGGCAGCTATTAGACTGAACCTTTTGACTGGGTATCAGTGAGGAGCACCATCATTTTGAAAACTGCTTGAGAGAGATAGCGTAAGAAATACCAGTACAGAATGCCAACAATCAGATACTCAGGTGATGACTCTCAGCTGTGAAAACAGTTGCACATTATTTTTTCCATGGGGTTTTAATGCTTTAATTAACATTATTTGATAAGATTGCTCTTAATATGCATGAGATAAATTAGTGGCAAATATTGGACCTTACTGTACAGATTTAGAAAATCAAGATGACTAAATAACCTAAACCAAGTGACTGAATCAGTTTGTGATTGACTGAAGGGTTCCCGCCTCCTGACCCTTTACCGAAAATCGGTCATGACTGTCTAAATGTAAAATCCTGGAGGAGTAAACATAGGCCTTCCCCCAAATCTCATATTATACAACCAAAGGATAGCTAAAAACTTACAATAAGAAAATCAGGATTCACCCTAGCTAAGAAAAAGAATTCTTCTCCAGTATGGAAATAACTAGTAACACCCAGCAATTCTCACTAAATGTAAGTGAAAGTGCCAAGCACTGCATGAGCATGAAATTATAATCTGTCCAGGTCAACAAGCTATGCTTGTCTATGAGAATTCTAAGAAAATTCTGTCTCTTCTCAGCTAGCTGTAACAATGGAAAGAAGGAATGCTATAATCAGAGATGTTTATGAATATTCCGCTTTGAACAGCTACTCATCTCTGTTTTCTCCAGAGCACCTAGTCTGCGTCGAATTCATACAACCACTACCTAAGCCAGGGGTTCCCATAGTGACGGTCCTTTCCATCTCTTGGAGGGCTTTTAAAAAATATTGCAGGTACCTCCCAGAATTTTGGGGCTGGGGCCTGAGTATCAGTATTTTTAAAAGTTCCCCAGTTAGCTCTAACATACAGCTGGGTAGAGAGTAAGTGATCCAAATAAATAATAGCTCAGGGGTGTGTAGGATGTTAGGGGCAGAAATCAACCTGAAATTAACAACTAGTTGGGATTACAACACTGCACTCTCCCCACCTTCATCTTATTCCACTTCGATTCTCTAAAAAAGTGCTTTTAGAGTGTCAAGGAAACACGGAAGATGCTTTTGGTTGCTATGATCCTTCTTTACAGATGGCAATGTTTAGTGTATGCGTGATCATGCATTATTCACACTCATCCTACTACCTGAGTAATTATGTAACTGCTATCGTTGGAAATGCAACACCAAAACCGCTCGGGATCACACAGAGGGAAATACGCGTATGTGTTGTGTCTCACAACAACACGATAGACTGCATCGTGATCATCTTTTGTGGGTAACAGGAAGATGCCCTGTGCCAGCTGTTCAAGAGAAAAGCCTGTCACGCACATGTTTTCCCACAACCCACATTATGCCAGATGCACTGTGACGGAACACGGCCTTTGTTGCTGTGGGTGTGCTCTGTGTGTGCACAGTCACCATTGAATGAACTTAAGTTATAAAGATGGTTTTAAAAGTGCCTTTCTTCCAAGTACCTACTTACACTCATCAGTGCTGGAAGGGGAGGGGACGTGGCCAAAGATCAGTGAGTCTGCTGCAGCAATTTGAGAGTGACAACCCCTTTCAATTTTATCTTATTTCAGAAACCTACTGTATGTGTATGTTACTTGAAAACCTGTAAGAATAATTAACACAAATTTTAATGGCAAATTTATATATGTATATTACTCTAGGTATTTCATGAATAATTCCTATCACCATTTGGTAGGAATTCATGAACATCTCATGAATTAACCAAGAGGAAAGTGCAACAGCAGCGTAGAAAACATGAAACCATGCATCCGGCAGACAGCAACAGCTGTGTGCCCGCCAAGTATCGGTTCTTCTTTCTGTGATTTTGTTTGGAGAAATAAATGGTCATCTAAAAAGCTATTGAGTTCCTAAGCCTCCCTTATAGTTAGGGGTGGTTACTTTTGGCTAACAAAACAGAGGTAAAAGTATGCTGGACATTTCTGGAAAAGTTTGTCTTCCTTTTTCTTCTACCTGCCTGGAATCTAGATCTGGAGGCAGAGTGGGCCCCTGTGAATGTCTGAGGAGGATGGACAGACAGAAAGACAGCTGCGACCTGGGGCACCAGCTGCATGAGAGAATAGTGTCTTTTTCAGCTTGGGGTAGTCAGAGAAGGCCTCTCTGATGGCTTGAAATTTGAACTGAGAACTAAATGATGAAAATGAGGCAATCCCGCTGAGTTCTGGGGAATGAACCTTGGTGTGCCTGATGGAGGGGTCCATGTGGCCGCAGTGGAGAGGGGGAGGCCACAGAGGGGGGCAGGTATCCATGCTGAGGGTTCCGGGTTCTAGGCTGGTTTCAATAAAAATCCACGGAAGGGTTTTAAGCAGTAGGGACAAGATGTGACTTCAACTTCAGAAAGATCTCTGTGGCTTCTCTGAGGGGGGACGGAGCTGGGGTGGAGGAAAGAGTGAAAGAAGAGACAGTCATGGGGTCTTTGCAGTGGGGAGTCTGGGTGAGGGAACTGAAGGCTTAGCCTAGAGTGGGGATGGGAGTGAAAAAATTCACGATACCCTGCAGAGACTAAGACAACAGCACAACTTGCTGATGGAGCGGGTGCGCGTGAGAGGGGAACCCAAACAAATCCTAGGTTTTCACCTGAGCAGCTGGATAGGGGGGCAACCTTCACTGAGACAGGCAATACTTCAGGTTGAGTACATATGGGGGTAAAGCCCATGGTTCAGTCTTGACCTTGTTACCTGTGAGGTGCCTTTTAGACTTAACAGGTGAGAGACTGGGGAGACCAATGACCCAGGAAGCTTAGGAGAGTGTCTTTTCTGATAAAAACTGGACAGGTGACCCTACACCACAAACACAGAAAAGTAGTGGACTGGAAGGGAACCTAAACCAGTCCATGATGTAGTCTGGCATTAAAGTTCAGCCAAATAAGGACCATAGCAGCAATGTAACAATGGACTCAACCCCATCCTCTTTCAGCCACGAGGCAGCAGAAATCATGAGATCGGGAGGAGAGAGAATTACTAGTTGGAGAAGAAAATGAGAGGACGGGACACTAGAGCTCAGAACACAGAGAGCCCTGTTACCGGAGCTGCCTCTCCCCCGAACAGCTTTCTTCTTTCCAAAAAGACCCCGCTGTATGTGGTTCATAGCATTTCTTCCAATGTTTCTCCTGTTCTTTTTTCCTCTCTTTTCCTTCTGCTATTTCCAGTAGGTACATGTTACACCTCTTGTAGTTGTCTACAGTTCTTGGATATTCTGTTCTCTTTCTTTCAGTTTTGCAAGATTCTATGGACATAGCCTGAAGCACAGACATTGCACCAGACATCCAGCTCATCAAAAGCACTCTTCACTTCTGTTACGGGGTTTTTGATCGCTACCATGCCTATTTGGGTCTTTCTTAGGGTTTCCACTTCTCTGCGAACATTCCATCTGTTCTTACATGCTGCCTACTTTTATCCAGTAGAGCCCTTAGCATATTCATCACAACTGTTTTAAATCCCTGATGGGATCATTCCAACACTCCCACCATCCCAGCCATATCTGAGACTGGTTGTGATCCTTGCTCTGTCTCTTCAAAAGGCGCCTTTCTGCCTTTTAGTATGCTTTGTAATTTTTGCTGAAAGCCAGACATGGTGTAATAGCTAGAGGAACTCCAGGAGGGGAAGCATTCTATAGCCCTATGATTGGATCTCTGCCTTTTAGTGAGCCTGTGCCACTGGGCTGTGAACATCACCCACACTTCTCAGTCCACCCCCCACCCCTTAGGTGGGGCGGGCTGGATAGAAGGGCTGGAGTTTGAAACTTCCCTTCTCCCAAGTTGGTTACGCTCTGATAACACTCCAAGAGCTTAGGCCCTGGTGAAAATAGTTTCTCCTGAGGGCTGGCCTTGTTAAGAAGAACAGAATGCTCCAGCAAATTCCAAAATGCTTCTTTTCTCTCTTCCCCTTCTCAAAAGTATGAGGGGATTTTTCTCCTATATTTGCAGTGAGGAGCTGAGGGGACTTCTGGAAGCGAAACGCAAAAAAGTATGGGACTCCCCTATGACTGTCTCTCAAACTTGGGGGGCAGCGTCTTGTCCTGTGACCTTCCTTCCGTGATAGGTCTGGGAAGAGCTGTTGATTTCTCAGTGTGCTTAGCCTTCGATTCGCTGTCTGGATAGAGAGATGACTCCCAACCTCCTTACATGCTTCACTGGTACCTGGAACCTTCCGACAGTGCTGCTTCCCCATCTAACCACGTAGCAAATCAAGTGCCGACATGACCTGGGCCCAACACTCACAGGGCCATTCTCTCCTCTGCGCTATAAGAGTCCTGTCCGTGTTGCCTCAGAGCTGCTGCCCTTTCCCACCCAAGTTTTGTGGCTGAATCAACGAATGATGCAGCAGCTACACCTCACAGAGAACTAACTAAAACAATGCAGTTTCCAGACAGTTTCATTATTTATAATATCACTAATATATTTTCAAAAAGACTAGAAACAACCCAGAACACCTTAGGAAATGCCTTTTTATTATTAATCACAACGACTATACCTGCTATCTCTCTCTGGGATTTCCTTAATCGCGATTCTGACCTGGTTGCTCAGGTCTCGACCTGCGTAGACTATCCCGTAAGTGCCTTTTCCCAGAACGACCCTGTCGCCGTTTTCATCGTATTCATAGTCATACTGCAAAAGGAAGAGGGGGAGAGAAGATGGACACATTAGTTACATTCTATATGTTGAACATCAACTTTTTCCAAGAGTATTTTTCCTTATTTTAGCAGATAGCTTTAATAAGGGGCACAGTAAGATGAAATCCTAAAAAGGAGCTTCAAGGACCAAATAAAAAAAGACACTCAACATCATTCAGACAGTGTGCTCACATATTCAAGACTGTTACAAATACAGTAGGGACTATGTATTTAAATCCATAAAGGTGTTTTTTCTTAAAGACCGCTTGGATTCTTTTATCCACTAAATCCAATTTTTCATTGATTCTAGATAAAAGTATGAATAGCATCAATGTCTATCATATCTAATTAATCTTTCTTTTCCAGCTTCTGGTGTTATTAAAGTATTTCATACTCTACATGGAGAATAAAAGCACTGGAAGCCATTGGTTAAGAAGAGAAATTTAAAGTCTTACTTGTTGACAATGATAAAGGGTTATTTTTACATCACCCTAATTCCCCAAGACTAAAACACATTTTTAAAATAAAAAAATGGAGATGGAACGTTATCTTTTATGTAAGAAGGAAATATCTACAGCTCTGTACCCCTGACTGTCAAGCTCATCAGTCAAATATGAAAAACTGGATCAAGTGAAAGGGATTTTCAGGGCACCTGGTAGAGACTGCCCCAGACCCGGAGGCTTCACCCAGAAAGGCATAACCTCTGTCTCAGACTGGAATTACGCGGTGTAGGGCCAACAAATGATCAAGCCACGTCTCTGTAGACACCTAGCGTAAAACCAACACACCAGAGGAGATCACAAGAACGAGCCCCTGTCTTGGCTCCATTTGGCTGGAGTGCAGGACTGGCAGCCCACAGCTGGGTTCAACTCATAGCAGAGTCTGACTTGGCCATTTAAAAATAATTGATTTCTAACATTTACAAGTCAGCAAATCTAACATTAACACTGACGAATAACCCCAAAGAAGACAATGATCATGGCTTTTTACACTCACATCACAGCCTTAAAATATATCAAGCAGAAGTGATAAAATTACAAAGGAAAAGTCTAATCTAAACTATAATAGGTTTTCCCTGGCTGGTGTGGCTCAGTGGATTGAGTGCCGGCCTGCGAACCAAAGGGTCACTGGTTCGACTCCCGGTCAGGGCACATGCCTGGGTCGCAGGCCAGGTCCCCACTGAGGGGAGTGTAAGAGGCAACCACACATTGATGTTTCCTCTTTTTCTCCTTCCCTTTCCCTTTCTCTAAAAATAAATAAGTAAAATCTTTAAAAAATAAACAATAGATTTTAATAGAACTCTTTAAGAAACTGGTATGTCCAGATGACAAATTTAACATAGAGACCCTAATGACAAAATGAACAAATCCAACACACACACACAGAGAGCCCTGCGCTCAGACATAAATTCCTTTCACACATATATGACAAACATAATAACTGTTCATATATTCAGCCACAAATAAAATTTCAACTAGTTCCAAAGAACTGATATCATTAAAAACATGATCTTTGACCACAGGATATTTAAAATAACATAGCCAATAAATATATTTGAAAACTGACTGCTGCCATTTGAAGATAATCAACAAACTGATCAATGAAATGACTGCGGGGATTACGTAGCAGAAAGAATGACAGGGAGAGCATTACATAGCAAATGCCCAAAGACATACAGTATGTAGTAAAAAACTGTCATGGCCTTGAAGAACTGCATTAGAAAACAAAGAAAATTTTTAAACAATTAAGTCCAATTGTCAAGTCCAAGAAATACAGAATGAATAATATATTATGGTCCGAAGGCAGTAGAAGGGGGCTTTCGGTTTTGGTAATACAGTGGACTGAGTACCAGAAAAACTTCCTGCTATAAAAACCTAGATTAAATAAAATAGACATTCTTTTAAATGCCTAGCCAGGATTACAAAAAAGTTAAGAAGGCTGCTAGGAACCAAAGGGGAAAAGAAAAATCAACAGGTTATCACAAGAACTGATGTCTCTGTAGCCTGTGGTATGGAAACGGGGTTGGGCTTTCCATCTCATTAATGTAGGGCCAGGGCTGAAGAACATTTATGTAAAGGACCAGATACTGAATATTTTCAGGCTTGTGGGCCAAAGAATCTCTGCAGCAACTTCTCAACTCTGCCATTGTAACATAAAAACAGCCCAGTCAGTAGATAAACAAATGGGCATGGTTGTGCTACAAAAAAACTTTATTTACCAAGAAGTGGCAGACTGAATTTGGCCTTTGGACCACTGTTTGCCAATCCCTTATCTGGGACATTAGTCTTAATGCCCATGAGGGGACAGGAAATGAGGCCTTGTGCCTACCCGAGGTGAATAGCTAGAACACACAAAACCAGAGTCCTTGAAAAACTTTAATTTGGTAAAAGGGTGTATTAGAAAAAAGTTAGCCCACTGCACTAGGAAACAAAAAGGAAGTTTGTCTGTCTCAGACCAAGCTCTGAGCAGACAGAAATGAGTCTCTTCTGCAAGCTTTCAACCACAGGCTGCTCCTCATGCTGTTTGGAGTTCAAATCTATGCTTATCGTAATACCTATCACTGGTCTTGAGTTGTGGGACATCCCAGGAATTCCTAACAGAAACAAAGCAAAAACATCTTAAAGAAAGATGCCCTTAATACAGGCTGTGCAGGATTCTCACTGATAAGGAAACACTGAAATTGAACTCACAGTCCAAAACTTTTAAATATATTAGGAAACAATTTATTGCTAGTGAGAGCTGATTTGACAAGTATCAGTCTCTAAAACTTTGTAACATTAAAAAACTTTATATTAAGTATATTTAACATAAGAATATAAAATAAGAAAAATATAACAAAAGGATAAAAGATAGTCTAAAAAATGGTCAGACTTGAGACGGAATCAAATATAACTTCCAGAAATTGAGTCTAACTAGCAAGAATAAAACTAAATGCACACTCAAATGTATTATAGAAAAACTACAAAATATGAAAAAAGATTATAAAAGGAGGCAGAAATTAAAAAGAAAAAAATTACCTACAGAAAGAGCTGATCACATCACTTTGCAGCCTCCCTGGGGTACACATCCTCCAGAAGGTACGGGATATGTGGCTACCAGCTCCAGTTTATGTTTCTGACAGGTTTCCAAGTCTTAATAGAGGGCGACCGGGCTGCACTGTCTTGTGGGAAATTACAACCAACATCGTGCCAGGACTGGGTGAGCACTGGCCTCCCTCTCACTGTTCTCTGGCTGTGGGCAGAGGCCAGCCTCTGGCAGGGAGCTGTCTCCTTTCCCAGTGGCAATCCTGGGTTCCGAGGTACCCGGGGGTACATCAGAGAATCCTTTTACTCTGGCTGCTAACATAAAGCTAAAGGTTATCCTAATCCAGAGCAGAAGACCAGGTATGTTTTCAGGTGACAGATTAGGAAGTGAGAATCACTGAGCAATTTCCACAGACTAGGAAATAAGACTGGAATCCAGCAAAGAGGCAGTGAACACAGGCGAAACATGCCACCTGAAGCAGCTCAAGTCTCCACAGCCACTTCCTGTGGCCGAAGTGTCTGTCATGCTATGCCACGCATGTTGGAAGTCTGCCAGCCAGGCCTCAGGGCGGGGACCACAAGCAGAGTAGTTCCTCTTTGCCGATGTGTACTCTCATTGGGATGAAAACACATGCCCTGAAGCTAGTGCCACTACCACCTTACAATATTATAATGCTCTATAATTTAAAAGAAAAAAATGAGTTTTCAATAATCTACTTCATTCGATGGTCATAAATAAGCCTGTGTCATAACAGAGAAGGTCTATAATTAGCTCCAATTTACAAATGATCAAAAATAATCTTTTCAGTGATAATCTGTGGTTTTAAACCCAGCTTATTAGATTTCACACTTAGTGTTCTTTCTGCTATAGGGAAACCCGGTTATACCATAAGAGCGTGTAATGTTTCCAAATGCCTGTACTGTACAGCTGTTCCAGTACACATTCAATATCCATTGGACATCCATTCACTTTCTCAAGCAGACAGTCGGTCACCCTCAGGCACTCATCTTGGACTCCATTCTTTCCTTTGCTCCCCATACCAAACCGACTGCCAAATGCTGTCAGGTTTATCCTCACTGCTGTGGCCCAGATCAGGTCCTTCTTACACTTCTGTACTAATTCTACAGACTCTTTTAAACACTTTTTAAATATTAAAGTATAGTTGGCATACAATATTATTATTAACATTACTACAACATTTAACATTTATATACCTTACATTGTGGTCACGATGACATGTCCAGTAACCACAGTTACTGGACATTATTGACTATATTCTTTGTGCCGTATACCACATCATGATAACTTCTCTAACTGCTCCCCCTTTCCCCTCCTCTCTCGTTGCCCTGCTCTCCAATTCATTCTCCATTAAGTTGATGGTAAACTTTCCAAATTTCAAAGTTCCAAAGTGAACTCCCCATGTTCCTGCCACTGTCTCTGTTTATTGGTCCTCACTATTTTTAGGATCAAATCCAAGCTCCTTCACACAGCGTTAAAAACCCTTCAGATCTTATTGTCACCTCTGTGTTTAATCCTCTCTCTCACCAACCTCGCCCAAAAACTCTCAGTGAGGTACCCAGGATCCTTCTGCCTTTAAACATACTGTGTTTTCTGCCTTAGGTGACTCTGTCTCATCCTTCAAAACCAAGCTCCAGAAAGCTTCCCTGCCTTCAAAACCCAGGTTAGTTCCGGTCTAATATGCTTCCAAGGCTGTCTGCATGTGCTCTTCCACACACTCATCACTGTTCTTTCTGTTGCCCAGTCTGCACCCCAGTCTGGACTCTGAGCTCTATGAAAACTAAGAATTTATCTTTTATTGCTCTATCCCTAGTCTTGGCAATACATGGCTTATAATAGATGCTCAGCAATTATTTGCTTAATTAATCAATCAGGCTTTAGAAAAATTAATAAGAAACTTTTTTTCAATCAGGTGTCCAAACAAAACACTTGAAGTCAGTATTGCTTAATTTT